ACCGGGGATTGAACTCGGGTCCTTGTGCTTGCAAGGCAGGCCACTGAACCGCTGAGCTAAATCCCCGGCCCAAAAAGTTTTTTTAATGGCTAATTTTGTTTTGTGAATTACACCTCAAAAATGACATCATATTAAAATATTTTCTATGGCAAATGGAATACCATAAATTCAAAAGAAAAATAAAATTAAAAAATAATTTTATGAATGCATAAATGATACTTAAATGTTGAGGGGGAAACTCAGCAAACGATTTGAACAATTTATAAATATATAAAAATAGGCCTTAACAATATAAAGCGATGTTCTATTTCTTTTACAAAACAGAAATGTAAATTCTTAAAAACTATATTTAGATACCATTCTACTCCTATTCTTTATATTGTCAATTTTAGCCTTCTCACTTCAGATTATACTAAACATTAGCTTCCTTTCAGACATTCACGACCTCAAAAGTCATTTCCTGTTAATTCCTGGAATATCTCCTCACTTTTTCTCTTTCCAACTACAGTCCTGTTAGAGAATTCAAAGCATTTACACTTCAAAATGGACTATCTATGACAATTTTCTTTTGAAGACTTGAGATAACAGTAAAGACAATTCTTCCACATTGCCCAAGACCCTTTGTTTTTGTTTTTGTTTTGTACCTGGGATCAAACTCGGAACCTTCCATTTGAGAGGCAGGCGGGGTCACCGAGCTAAATCCCTGGTCCTACCCAAGACCGCTGGGCCACTAGACTAGCTCCTCTGTGGCATTGTGGGAAGTGTAGTCCAGATGCTCCTTGGAATCCTGCACACTTCCACTTACACCCGAGGGTTCCCCAGAATTCTGGGAGTTGTAGTCCAGGTGCCCTGCCGTCTTCGATGCTTAAATTCTGGGTGTGTGGAGTTGCTTTTTTTTTGTCCGTGGTGGTTTCAATCAGTTTCAGGTCTTGCGGGTACTTCTGATTTTCTTTGCCCTATGGCGGCACCCTCAGTGTCAGAGCTGTCGATTTAGGGGAAATGAAGCGCCATTGAAGCGCGCAGGATTGAGGAATGTGGAGAGCAGCCTCTGTTAGAGGAACCCGTTTGAGTGTGGAGGTGTTCCAGGCCTGCTATTGTCTTAACTTTCTGCCTGACTCTTTAGGTAATGAGTCCCCTCTCTCTGGAGACCCACATAAATTGAACGAATATTGGTTTCCTTTCAGGTGCTGCAGGGACTATCTGAAGGTATCTTTCCAGTTCCTTCTCAGATGCCTGAGGATCCAGCTGACCACTTCCTGAGCTCTCTGGCCCAGGAATGAATGATCATGTGTGTGCCCAGCAACCAGGGGATTGTGTGCCACGCTGCTCTATTTCCGTATTCTTTTCTCTATCTCATTCTACGCCCCCTTTGTACTAACATCTCTCCAGGGGTGACTTGGTTCCTGCTTATCACCCTTCAGTAGAGGTCTCCACAGGTCATCCAGCTGCTGCGCGCCCAGGCCGATGCCATCACCTTGGGCCAGGCATAGGGTGCATCTCTCCTTGTAGCCATGGTCTAGACCAGACCCCACTCACTGTATCAGTCGTACAGAGCAGGTTTACCGCTTACCAACTTGTGGGAGCCTGCAAGATGGGACACACTCACATGCAGCAAGTTATGTGACGCCAACCTGTTACTCACAGACGGCAGGACGAAGCTTGGCATGGTGGTGCCTTGGGCTGAGCCTGAAGATGGCCTTTGCCTAATCCCTACTCCCTTTCTCCTTCACAGATTAGAGAGTCAAAGTCTGTTTCACAAAGATTGTAGATCCTGGATGGCACAGACCCAGGAGACAGTTACATTATGTGTCCTTGTTCCTGATCACGAGACATTCACGTTCAGCCTAGGCCACATGGTTCTCGCCTTCCCACACTATAAATGAGGAGCACACTGGACGCCAGGTGCCATTAGCTCATCAGGCTATGGTCCTGGCTATAAAGCTTAATCTTGGTACATATCCTTCTGTCTTACTATTTTCCAATTTTCTTCACCTCCACCTCTCTCCCTGACACATGCGTGTTGCGGCATGGTGGTGCACACCTGTATTCCCAGCACTCAGGAGGCTGAGGCAGGAGGATCGCAGCAAGTTTGAGGCTGTGGTCTTCAGCGAGGAGGAGCTGGGGCTGCTGGACTCTGTCCAGAGGAAGCTGTACCGAGACGTGATGCTGGAGAACTTCAGGAACCTGCTCTCCGTGGGTGAGGGCATTATTTTTTTCACTTTAAAAAAATAGGTATTTATTATAAAATTATAAAAACTGACTTTTTACTACACATCATAGTGAAAGTTTTTAAATAATTTGTATCCTCCCTCCAAAAAAGTGTGTTCTGCCTTTTACCGTCTTGAGTCAGTACAGAAATTCTGATGGTACAAAGAATGATTCACAAACATTTCATTAAACCTTGGAAGAGCAAAGATATGGTAGAAACCAAAGTCTCTACAGTACATTTTTAAATCATATTTTTGGTCAATTTTAAATTATAAACATTGGCCGGTCATGGTGGCGCATGCCTGTAATCCCAGCATTTGGGAGGCTGAGGCAGGAGGATCGCTGTGAGTTCGAGACCAACCTGGGCTATGTAGTGAGTTCCAGGTCAGTCTCAACTATACAGTGAGACCCTGTCTCAAAAAACCAAAAATAAATAAATAAATTATAAACATTAAGAATTATACAGTAGTAATGCATTTAATTTTTCAAAGCAAAAATGGTTCATTTTCTATTTTCTCATTTTGTTTTATCTTTGCCAAAACACTTTTTTATTTTTTTGGTACCAGGGATCGAACTCAAGATCTTGCACTTGTGAGGCAGGAGGTGGAACCACTGAGCTAAATCCCTGGTCCCCCCAAAATACTTTTAAAAGCAAAAATTAAAGATTTCTCCAGTAAAGTGAAATGTCAATAACATTTTGTGCCCTGAAGAAACTCTAAAATGTAACAGCACTTAAGCAGTGGTTAGCTCACAAAGGCCTATGCCTCGGCCACAGCCGACCTCAGCTTGTCAGCGGAACTGGCTCACAGTGCCAGGTAAGGAGAGAGGCAGCGAGCAGGAGGAGGAATGCAGCCCAGGGCCGCCAAGGTCTTTCTTGCAGTGAAACAAGGGTGTCCAATGGAGGGGACTCTCCTTGCAGAATCCAAGCCGGTCCTGGTTAAAAGCAGGTCACGCCCAGTACCCTTGATGACCCCCCATCCACCTCATCACTTCCGAACACAGCACACAGGCTTTCATGACAGGAAAGCAGTTATACATTAATGGATCCCTCTTATACATTAATGCTAGTGCAGTTATGTTGGCAAGTAGTATGATGAAGTGTAAATTTTTCTTTTGTGAATGGTATTATACATTAAGGTGAGGGAGCAACTTATTTCCTAGAAATGAAACATAATCTGTGTCATCTACTGCAGCTTAAACACTATCTCAAAAGGCCACGAAAATAGAAAAGTCTATTCTTTGTAATATAAATAAATATCTGCAGAAACATTCCATTATCTATGTAGAATTGACCTATTTTCAAAGAAGTGAAGTAATTTAACTACTTACAAAGTTACCTTTTTAATCAGTGAACGGCTAGAGCAAAGGGATCCCACTGAATTGTACACTAAAAATAAGTTAGTAAGTTTTATGTGTATTTTACCATAATTAAAAAATTTTTAGTGCTGATACCTTGTTGTTTAACAAAACATTCAACTAAGTGATTAGATTACTTATATAAGAAAAAAGTCACTTCTCTTTTATATCCTGACATTCAAGGACTTGGTATCAAATCTCTACATCTGCAAACAGAGAAGCAAATCAAGATCCAGTGGCCGCGTGTGGTGCTGCACACCTGTAATCCCAGCCCTCGGGAGGCTGAGACAGGAGGATCGCTGTGAGTTCGAGACCAGGAAAAAGATCCAATGTACTACTTAAATACCTCCCCCTCCCAAGTTTATTATTTTTAAAAATATTTTATTTATTTTTATTTGGTACCAGGGATTGAACTCGTGCCCTTGCGCTTGGGAGGCAGGTGGTGGGACCACTGAGCTAAATCCCTGTCCCCTCCCTCCCCAAGTTTAGACAGAGTCAGGGGAGAGAATTGTTCAAAAGGAATTGTTATAAAAAGAAATACCAGGGGGAAAACAACTTTTTTATTTTTGAATTTTTGGTGTATTTAAGGGAATATATTGATTATATAAACCAAAAGGTAATTTCTTAAGAAGTTGGAATAAAGCTGGGCATGGTGGCACATGCCTGTTAATGCCAGCACTCAGAAGGCTGAGGCAGCAGGATCGCTGTGAGTTCCAGATCAGTCTCAACTACATAGCGAGACCCTGTCTCAAACCCCCCCCACCAAAAGGAGTTGAATTTGGAATAAGAAGAAGCCTCCCTACCACTGACTTTGTGGTTGTCTTTCTGCTTTCCCTCGCCTAACTCCCTAGTGTGCCGGGTGTGGGCGCTACTGAGGCACCCTCCGTAATGGAATGTCAGCACCCAGTGTGCCTTTGTATCCTTGAATGTTCAAGTTTGAGTAGTTATTAGATGTTGGCTTCCCTTTTGAAAACTTTAATTCAGGACGTAGTCACATCCTGACCAAAGTTATGAGCATGAAAAACACATTTTGCATCGTAATGGGGTCACTTTCTATGGCGCATGTGATGTACATAGGTGACTTTTCCTGCTAGTCATAATGCTCTGATACTTTGTATTCAAGTTCTTTCTTCTAAATGCCTATTATAAGGTTTTACATTTATTTCAAAGCTCCCTTAAGTTGTATAATCTATAGTTGGAAAAGGTTTATAAAAGTCTATTTATCTTCGTCCTAAATTTTCCCGCTCTTTTTTCAGAGAGATAGTCCAACAACTTCGGTAGAACTGATCAGGGCATAACTTTCCATGCTTTCTTTTCACCCTGGCTGACTCTCGCTACCTTCACACTGAGCTACATTCCACAGTCCCCCACCTTTTTAAACAAATTTGAGACAAAATATTGCTTAGTTTCCCAGCTTAGTCAGGCTAAAGCTTGCAGTCTTCTGGCCTTAGCCTACCAGAGTGCTGGCGTTACAGGTGTGTGCCACCACTCCTGGCTTGTCCATCTGATGGGCCAACATCTTTGGTTTGTTTGTTTTTGGTACCGGGGATTGAACTTGGGGCCTTGTGCTTGCGAGGCAGGTGGTGGAACCACTGAGCTAAATCCCCGGCCCCCTGGCTTGTCCATCTGTGAATTTCTTACCACCCTGTTGCTGTCTCATGTTTCCAAAATTGCCAAGTCCCTTTCCTGAATTATTGCAGTAGTCTTCATATTGACTCCTGTGTGCTTACCCTAGGGTTGAAAGTCTGTTCTTGCATATCACAGTCAAAGCAGTCCTTTGGAAATGTGCATCAGATTTCCATCCCTCTGCTTAAAACCTCTTGTAACTTCTTATTTTTCTCAAAGTTTAAAAAACCCTTGCCGGGCATGGTGGCGTATGCCTGTATTCCCAACACCTGGGAGGCTGAGGCAGGAGGATCTCTGTGAGTTTGAGACCAGCCAGGGCTACACAGTGAGTTCCAGGGCAGTCTCAACTACATAGTTAGACCCTGTCTAAAAAAAATAAAAATCCCTTTATATGGCTTTTAAAGACCCTGAATTCTGGTATTTTGCCTCCTCGATTACATCTTCTTTCTTGCTTGCTCAGTTTTTTTCAGACATTCTGTCTTCTTGCTATTTCTCATACCTTCAAAGGACACTGTATTTCCTATGGCTGCTGCCACAAATTTCTACAAGTTTAGCAGATTAAACAACAAAAAGGTATAGTGGTACCTGGGTTCACGAACTTGATTCTTTCTACGACTCTCGTGGAACCCATTTATGTTCACAGGGGAGAGAAATGCTACAAGTGTGAAGAGTGTGGTAAGGAGTTCAGTCAGATCTCTTGCCCGCAAACTCATTGGAAAGTCCACACTGTAGAGAAACCATTAAAATGTGAGCAGTGTGGGAAAGACTTCTTTCATAGATCAACACTGATCATCACATTCATTGAGAAACCTTACAATCGTGAGGAATGAGGGCAGGCCTTCATTCACGATCCACAGCTGCAGCAGCATCGGCACATCCACCTGGGGAGAAACCATCCCAGTGTGGTATTTGTGGCAAGAGCTTCCGCCTTAGCTCGGCACTTAATGGTGCAATGGCAAGACCCACTCAGGGTGGAAGCCATACAAAGGTGAGGACTGTAGGAAACATTTCAGTGGTAGCTCAAACCTTCATATGCATCAGTGTGTCCATACAGGAGAGAAACGTTGTAAATGTGAAGGGTGTGGGAAGTGCTTTATTCAGCCTTCACACTTTCAGGCCCATTGGAGAACCCATACTGGAGAGAAACCATATGTACGTAAAGTGTGGTAAGGGCTCCATTTGCAGTTTAAATTTCCAGGTACATCATACTCAAGATCAATCCCTCCCTCTGTATCTGCTACTCTTCAGCCCTCATGGGACCGTTCTATTTTAGCTCCCAGTTTTCACCATTTATGAGGTTGGCTTCCTTGTTCATTTTTGACCCCTGAGGATTTCTTCTTAGCCACATTTTAACGCTTTACAGGATACGAGGCTGTCACATGTCTTTTCTCTACGTTTCAAGAGATTCACAGTGTCGTGCAACAATCGCCTAATCCTAGAACGCTTTCATTTGCCCCCAGAGAAACACCCTACATGTTAACAGTCATTCCTCATGAACACCTCTACCTCCCTAGCCTCTGCAAAACATGAATCTACTTTCTGTCTCTATAGTCTTGCCTAGTGTGCACATTTAATATATATATGGAATCGTTTCCCAGTGTGTTGTCTGACTTTTTTCACTCAACATCATGTCTTTGAAGTTCGTCAATGTCTTAACATGAACCTATGCTTCACTTTTTCTAATTGCCAAATAATATTGCATTGTGCGCATAGATTACATTCCATTTATCCACTCAGTTTGTGGACCTTGGGTTTTCCCATTTTGTTACTAATGCTGCTGTGCACATTTTCTACACATCTTTTGTGTAAATATATTTCAGTTCTTTTGAATGTATACTTGGGAGTACAATTTCTGGAAGACAATTATTTTCAGAGTGTGGAATACAGTTTGGGTGATGTCAGTGTCATTGACATGCACGTCCTAATGTTAGCCCACTCCATTCTGGGAGCGGAAACACTTAAGACCAGGGCTCAAGATGGCCGATTTCATGGGCCTCGGGAGGAAAATCACTTATCCGGCCCGGAACACTTTGTTCTGCCAGCAAGTAGGGAAGAATGTAGAACATGTAAAAGGCAGGCAGTCGAGCTTAAAGACTTAAAGTCCCATTGGTCAACAATGAATAATTTTACTATCAAATAATGATCATAAAGGAACAGGAAGGTCCATTTTTCAAGGGCTCACCGACAGCTCCGAGTAAGTCTACTTAGATTACAAGGCAGCCACAATTTGATGCACCTAATATTTCTCCTGAATGTCCTTCAGAGTCATATTTGCGCTACCATCTGATGGTTGTAGTAGACTTCAAGAAAGCTTTATCTATTAATATTTATCTGTTGTACATTTTGTACAAGAACACATCCAAGAGGAAATACAGGAAACAAATTTGAATGGTTGCTTATGAAGAGAGTGGAAGTGCCATGGAGGGAGAAAAAGTGAATAAATATTTTAAATTAGGTTACTGTATTTTATCATACTATGCTGGGATTTAGGTTTACTTCCACGGGAAAGAAATTCTGTGTCCTCTTTGTGTGCCATATGTTGTCTGAAGCCAGGGATAGTTCTTTGAAGGGGTTTTCTACAATGAGTATAGAACGTTAAAAAAGTAAAGATGCCAAATTCTTGTAATTATTGTTTCACCGCCTTATGATTTTTAGCATTGCAGATGTAGTCAGCCAAATAAAAATTATAATGTGTAGGGGAAATGATGTGATTTTTCCATGATTTAATAACATACAATATAAATGAATAGAGCACTGGCATAGAATAATATTTAATAGTTATTACCAATAATTATGTGGTTATTTTGGAAATCTGATTTCAAATATTTTGTCATAAATAGACATCTTTAAGACGAGTGAGGAATTTTCAACAGGGTATGGGTATAAATTATTAATATTTTTAACCTTTCTTAAATGAATAATTGCATCATGTGTTTAAGGTTTTAAAATGATGTTCCTATTAGTAATAGGTGAATACTAAAGTGCTTATGTGCAAAATGACATATCTAAAATTTGCTTTATTACACTAAACAAAAATAATACTTGAGAATGAGCTACAGTTTATAAGCAATCTTAGCATGTGCGAGAGGAATGGAAAATATATGAAAGGTACGAATTGGAAAGGAAAGTCTCCTCTATTGCATTCTGGGGCATGTAGTCCAAAGGTCTGTGGCCGTTTCACACACGTAGCTACATGAGGCCCCGCTGAATTCTGGGATATGTAGCCCAGGACCTCCTGGCGTCCGAGATACCCCAGCTCCGGGAAAACTGTGAGTATGCATTCTGGGATATGTAGTCTGGCGAACTCTGCGTAGTTGCAGGTATTTCCGCCCTAGGAGGGCTGTGTAGCTGCCATCTTTTCCGCTTATTTGAGTAATATTTTTAGTCAGCTCCCCCGAACCTTTACATTTTCTCCCAAATGCTCATGGGGTCAACAGTTAACAGTCTTTCGTTTGGGGAGAAAAGAGAGGAGCGGCAAAGAGCGAAGGCATAAGGGGGCAAGGTTGCCGTTTTGCGTTCCCCAGGGCAGGATACTTTGAGTTGGAGGCGAATCGGGTGAGGGCGGACCTGGGTCGCGCTGCGCTTTGCAAGGTTCGAGGGTCCCCACGAGCCGGTGTCACGAGCCAGCCCTGCCGTTTCCTGTATTACCTCTGGGGCGGCTTAGTAAATCCGTCTCCCTTCGTTTGCTGCTCTGAAAAGAGAGGAAGAGAGCAGTTATGTCTTGCTAACAGAATAATCTGAGAAAAATCGATGAGTCCAAAGGGTTTCTAACTGCCTAGCATATGGATTTTTAGCGATACTAGTCTAATTTTCGAAGAAATGCTTGCTTCGCAGTTAGCTTCTTTAAGCCAGGAAGCTGGATTGATCTACCCTTAAGATCTTTTTAAGAAGGAGGGGGCTGGGTGGGGTGTTACAGTAATTCATCGTAGAGAGAGAGACGCAGTCCGGGAATTTGACAACCTTCATTCCTTCCCCAGCCCTGACTTCTCAAAAAGCACTGCATGGAGGAGGAGACAGTCCTACGTGAGTAAGACTTTTCCTTTTTCTACAAAGATAGTCACATAAATCGGAGAATGTGTGGATCATGTAGTAGGGCCTGGGAGGTGATTATAATCAAGCATTAGTTGCTGAATTTCATTCTAAGGGTTTTATGCAGGTGAAACCGTTAACAGGAGCTCTGGTAAGTGGTTCTGCTATTTTTGCTACTCCACAGATGAGGAGACAGCTTGTTTGCCCATTGTCTCACAAGTTGTAGGTGGCAGGACTGGTGTTGGTAAAACTAGGCAGTCTTGAGTCCAGCCCTGAATTTATAATCTCTGTTATATACTCTCCCTAACCCACAGGAAACTGGTACTATTGTGTGAAAATGGATTTGGGCTTCATTGTGAGGACCTTGAGAGCAAGGTGTTGCTTATTGGGTGGATGCTTAAAAATAGTTTTCTCGGCTATTTCACTTTGTTTTTTTCAAGTAATATTTATATCATGGAAGTAACATTTAATCATGGACATTTCAGGAAATACAGAAATATATAAAGGAAAAATTGAATTATCCATAACCTTAGGAAGTAATTATAACAATTATTAGTGTCTTTTTGTCAAATTACTCTTGTGTATGTTTCTACTTAGTGGAGGCTGCATTTTGGGGGGACTATGGTGCTCCTGAATCTGTGACCCATAAACCAGAAGCATTGACATAACCTAAGTAGAAACGTCTGTCCACGAGCCCCACCCAACACCTTCTCACTTAGAATTTTGGTGTCCAGAACCCAGGGGTGTTCGTTCATTTAAACAAGGCTCCAAGGTTGATTCCTATTCAGGCTGAAGTTTGAGAAGCTTAGAAAAGCTTCTAGAAACTCAGGCCTAGAAAATTGACCCAGTCTAATGTCACAAATAAAACTCAGCTAGCAACACTATACTCCTACTTCATCCAGTGAGATTATTTTCCCCCCACAAACTATCAAGTCTTGTCAAAATCAGGATGCGAGCAGAAGACTCCTGGCAACTGGCAAGCCTAGAGTTGACATGAGCTCTGTTAGAAGTCATAAAAATATGTTTCTCTCAGGCTGTGCTAGTGGAGTCATTGCCCCTTTATGTACCAGAGGACTTGGAGTGGGAAGATTGACTGCTGGTTATTGGTTATGCTAAATGCTATTACTACAGCTACCTCCATCATTGTTACTACTATTACTGTCACCACTATGAGAATTTCCTGCTTTTTAAAAAACTTTTTACTTTTTTATGTAATTCTACAGTTATAGAAAACTTGCCAGAGTGATATAAAGAAATCTCATGTACCCAGCCCAGATTCTCCAGTTGTGTTTTGCCTATTTGTTCCTTCGGTGACCATCTGCCAAATAATACCAGGTATGTACCTGTCTGCAAAGACAATTAAATGTTGCAGCTTGCTGCAACAAGAAAGCCACCCCCTGCAGAGAATCAGGTATGGGTGTCTTGGAAAGAGGCAGTTAGGAGGAGGTAGTTAAAGGGTTTAGCTTGTGTTAACTGATTCAAGAAGGACTTTAAGCAGTGTATGTGTGTTCTGCACTGGAAGCTGTCAAGAAGATGTCATTTGATACCTGGGTGTAATAATTTTTACCTAGAAGGTGGGAAAAGCAAGGTGAGATTAGAATTACTGCTGAAAGTGAACCAGTCACCCATGTTAGCCAGGAGGGATACTCATTTGGTTGGTTTTGTCATTGTGGGATGCGTCTTTCTATGTTATAGAGGCTTTTTTTTTTTCTTGTTTGCTGTGATCACTGAATGGCCTTGCCTGGTTCACAGCCTGAAGCTGCATCTGTTTCTTTTCCACAGCTTTCCATGTGTGTGTGTGGGGGGTGTTATTGAAGCATTTGAGAGCAAGCTAGAGACAATGATTAAAATCCAGTTAGTTACGTGGATCGTATACTGTGACCTAATTCACAGTCCATATTTCAGTTTGTTCAATTTTTCTAATAGTCAGAAAAATTTTTTCCAAGTTACAGACCATCTTGATTTTATGCATTACACTTAGTTTTTGTTTCATTAGTCTCTTTAAGCTAGAATGATCGATCGCTCAGATTTTTTTTGTTGTTTGCTCTTGATATTTTTTGTAAAGTATTGGCAAATTGTTTCTTAGCATGTCCCTCTTTTTTATTTGATATTCATGATTAAATTCAAACTGTGCATTATCAGCAGAGTTTCCACAGAAGGGATAAGCACCCTTCTCTGCTTTGTAGAGGAATCGTCAACTTATGTATTTGTCCTACTGGTGGTCTCAACTTTGTTCTTTTGGTTAAGGTACCTGTTAGGCTATTTTCTTTCCTCTGTAATTAATTCTTTGAAACTACATAGCCATCTTATTTCTCACTAGACTTTCACTGATTTTTCACTACGCATGGATGATTTTCTAATTATCTTTTGCCCTGCCTGTGTTAGATCCCTATATGCCACCTTACGGAATTCCTGTATTAGCTGATGTATTCTGCTTTCTCTTCACGTCCACTTGCTGTATGTTCCTTTGTTTATAACAGTATGGATTCAGATTCTTGGACTTCTCATTTAAATTAGGTGTAGATTGTCACGTTGTTCATTGCAGTGTCTTATGTTTTATCATTAGTTTCTCTTCTTTTTTTTAGTACAGTCAGTGTTTTGGGGGATCGATTTTTTGGGGGGATTGGTTTGTTTTGGTACCGGGACCTTGCTGTTGTGAGGCAGGTGGCACCACCACTGAGCTAAATCCCCAGCCCGTTTTTACTAGTTTCTTAACTGCCATACGTGTATGCCGAAAGGACACTTCCCACTTAGAAATATTAAGGGCTGGGGGTATGTGCTTAGCATGTGCAAGGCCCTGAGTTTGGTCCCCAGCACCACAGAAACAAAATATATAAATATTTTTGTTGAAATAGAAAATTACTAAAAAGACAACCAGAGATATTTTCAGAAGTTATAAGAAAATTTCACATGGAAGAGCAATAATGTGAACTCCGGGTACCTTAACATATTTTGTTCGTAAATATCACATTTTAACGGATAATTCCAAACTGTAGACTATTGCCTACTTACTGCCGCTGTTGAGAAGGGAACTCTGACAGTGTTCTAAGAGCTTTCTGCCTTGCAACTCTCCTGTGAGGTTGGCTTGTTCTCTTCCTCTTGCAGATGGCAGAACGGAGGCAGACACGTTAATAGCTTCTCCTGGGTCACACTGCTAGTGAGTAGCTGTGCCACCTTTCCAGCCCATACACAACAATTTTAGAGCCTACTCTCGCCGATCCTGTCTCAGTGCGTACAAGAGCCACAGTCAGAGTCATTAAAGTGCAGTACAGGCACACGGGTGTTGAGGGCACCCGGTGTGCGTGGAAGGGGTGTCCTGTGAACTGTCACTGGAAGGGGTAAAGGAGGTACCTGCTGCCAGTGTCACGTTCTGTCCCGAAATCACGAGGAGCCATGTACTTTAGCAAATTCACAAGGAGGGGCACATGGGTCAGCGATGTACTTTCTCAGTTTTCAGTGAATTTCTCTCATTGTTGTTCTGTTGCCTTAGGGCTCTGTGCTTTCCCAGAAGAAAGACATCAACATGAGCACTCTGAAGGTGAGTAGAGCTTGCCTTTCTCCTTAAAATGCCACTTTAATACTCAGAGATCAGAAGTTTTCCTCTTTCCGGGAGTCAGTGCATTTGAGGACCTGTAGAGGGTACCTGGCATTCATTTTGTCCCTTTTAAGTTTAACTGGTTTTGGTTTTGGTTTTATTTCATCATTTTTTAATAGAACAAATAACAGTAGAAAAATAATGGATATGAAAAAAATCTGTGCTTACAAAGTAGCTGCTTTTATATTTCTGTAATCTGTACTATATATATTCATGTATTTGTATTTATAACATAGATACAATTTATTTACTTATTTTTTGGTGCTGGAGATTGAACCCTTGGTCTCATGCATGCTTAGTAGGCAAACACCCTACCACAGAACTGCATCTCTAGCCCCCTTAGATGCAATTGAATTTGTGGGTTTTTTTTTTCCTTTAATATTATATAGCATTCTTTTTTTGTGTGGTACCGGTGGTTGAACTCAGGACCTTGCACTTGCGAGGCAGGCGGTGGAACCGCTGAGCTAAATCGCTGTCCTCCTAGCATTCATTTTTTATTGCTGTATCCTTCCATCAAATTTATGTATCCAGCTTTTAAACTATTCTATCTAGGTATGTGGTTAGTTTAGGAGTTGTACTGATCGAAGAACACTAAACTGACAGTTTTCCTACATTCAGCTTTTTCTGAAAGAATAAAAATACTCTTTTTTTTAATCCTTAACATGCTAACTATCCAGAACTGAAATGTTTTATATTTGACATCTTGAATATTTCTCGTAGAATATTCAAATGTGGCGCAGTGCATCCGTTTTGATTGGTGCTAGCAGAAAACACATTGAGACGTTTTTACACTACGAGAGCCAGATTCTGGGTTCCCATGCCCAAGTCATACCCTGTGTATATTTTAGTTACTGATCTGTTTTTTTCCTTTGCATATATGTGTGGTTTTGCACTGAGCTATATCCATGCCTGCCCCTCTGCCCCCATCCTGCCCTGCCCTTTCCAATCTTGAGACAAGGTATCACCAAGTTCCTCACACTGGGCTCAAACTTGCGATTCTCCTGCCTCAGCCTCCTAGAGCACTAGGATTACAGGCATATGCTGCACACCTAGCTACCTTGTATTTTTTGAATCAAAGTAATAAGTGACCTGAGTGTGAGATGTCTGTTGGTACTACACAGACTTGCAGGCATGTGTACCACAGAGTATTAGGATGAGGGGATACTTGGTTTCATCTTCATTTTAAACATAAAGAAAGGGGTTGTGTAAAATGAGGAATCCACCCAAGCCCACATGGAAAGCTAAGGAATCCGAGGGTATTGAAGTCTAGTGAAAGATGGAAACAGGCAGAAACTGCCGTTCAGGGGTCTGGCATGCCATGTGACTTCTTGGAACATATTGTGCTACTTCTCACTTGGCTCCCACCTGAGAAGGAAGGCAGGTGCTGTCAGACGCTGTTGGGAGTAAATTGGTAAATAATTATGGCAAATTGGTGATATAAATTAAAGTGTGAACTTTTTTTTTGTTGTTCAGGATGTAACAGTTAGATGGCTAGAGAGTTTCCATATTACAGTGCTCGTTAAGAGCACCCTGTAAATATTGATTTCTGGTAGCAGCATTATTGGTGAGGCAGAGGAAAATGAGTGTACAGGATCGAGCGTTGGAAGGAAAAGGAGCAGAAAGTCTGCAGATGATTTAGAATCCAGAGAAGCTTCCCAACCACTCACCCCACCCTCTCACTGCTGCCCCTCTCCCAGGGGGCGCTGTTTGTTGTATTGAGGTCATGTGTGTTTATTGTAGGAAGCAGTGACCTTCAAGGACGTGGCTGTGGCTTTCACTGAGGAGGAGCTGGGGCTGCTGGATTCTGCCCAGAGGAAGCTGTACCGAGATGTGATGGCGGAAAATTTCAGGAACCTGCTCTCTGTGGGTGAGGACAGCCTCCCTCTGGAATGTATTTGTGAGCTTGGAGTTTTAAAGTTTTGGAGCTTTTTTTTTTCCGACACAGGATCTCACTGTGTAGCTCAGAGTAGCCTTGAACTCACTAAGTAGCTCAGAATGGCCTCAAACTCAAAGTGATTCCCTTGCCTCAGATTTCTGAGTGCCAGGGTTACAGGCATGTGCCCCTACACCCAGTTTGGGGCTCTTGAAATGATACCGTCTTTGCTAATTCCTGTGGAATGCAGAGTCAGGATGTTTCTACTCTTTGTGAACAGGGTATTTCAGGTCGTTTTCTATTCAAAACCTGAATGGACAGTATCCTGCTATTCCTTTCAGATTTCACTCCTGTCCCATTAGTGAATTATAAAAGCGATTTATTACTGAATCCTACCAGCAGTTTTCCTTTCTTTCATGCTAGGCAAGTCTCTATGCACTGAGCCACACACCCAGACCCCTGTGAACAATTTCTAATGAAAATATCAGTGCTGCTCAGGAAAAATGGTACAAAGTGCATCAAAAACTGGCCGGGGGGTGAATTGAATGAGTAGCGTGAGAGCCAGTGGGAGAATTGTTGAAAACAGGCATTAATTAGTTCAAAATAGGTCATTCAAACTTGTGCAAAATAATATAAATTATGCACATGTCAGTCATGAAATAAATGGTATTCTTCAGTGGATCATAGGTTTGCAAAGGTTTTGAAAAACACTTTTCAGTGTCTTCAATGTGCTGTTGAAGCTCAAATTTTCGGTAAATTTTAGTTCATCGTGTTTGTTTTCAACTTATATAACTCTGCATATTCATAGAGCATCAACTCTTCAAAAGAGGCAGGTCACACGTAGAAAGAAAAGAGAAGCTTTGGATGATGAAGGCAGAAATGCAAAGAGAGAAAAGTTTAGGTAAGGACCAAGCAGTTACAAGTCCTTACAGTTAACTGTCCGTCTGCTCCGCTCGTTACCCTTGTTGCCAGCTCTTCTGGATTATTTGCAACACCTTATTGCTGGTTTCCCTGTTCCCACCCTCCCCCTACCTTCTGTTCTCTGAAGTGAGCCTTCAGCCATAGGTTAGAGTGTGTTATTTCTCTGCCCCAAGTTCTCTTGTGGTTTATTTTACTTAGAGTAAAACCTCTGCCTAAAAAGTGGCTAATAGAGTCCTTTGTGGTCTCATCTTCATCCTCCACTGCCTGTCCTGTCCTCTCCCTCACGTTCCGTCTTTCCAGCCACATTGTCTTCCCTGCAGTTTCTTTTGTTGTTTGTTGTTGTTGTTGTTGTTGTTGTTGTTGTTGTTTGTTTTTGAGACAGGGTCTGACTATGTAGTTGAGACTGACCTGGAACTCACTGTAGCCCAGGCTGGTCTCGAACTCACAGCGATCCTCCTGCCTCAGCCTCCCAAGTGCTAGGATTACAGGTGTGCGCCCCCACGCCCGGCCACTCCCTGCAGTTTCTTAGACCTGCCAAGGTTGCTTCTGCCTCAGAGCCCGTTATGTGTTCCCTCTGCCTGCAATACTCATTCACCTGTAATTCTCCTGCCCGCTTCTTTCAGAGAAGAAAAAGTCTCAGAAAGTAGCTAAGTGTGAGCTAAGTGTGAATTAGCCTTTCCCTTAATATATTTGCCCAGCTCCATTCCACTTGCTTCTTCCAAAGTCCATAACCGTAATAAGAAATGACTCTTCCATTGTCATCACTACAGACGTCCTGCACGTATATAGAATTGTATGACTTCAGAAGGCATTTCATGTAATGACACAATTACTGTCTTTGTTGAATATTTTAAAGCTTTTTCTTCTCAATATTTATCATGTGTTATTAAACTTATTTCACAGTTTACTAATTGACTTCATTTATTAATCTGGAAAACAATCTTGTTTAAAAGAAATAAGAAAACAAGTTGTTGGGCTGGGGATTTAGCTCAGTGGTTCTGCTGCCTGCCTCGCAAGCGCAAAGACCTGAGTTTGATCCCTGGTACCAAAAAAAAAATAAATAAATAAAAGGTTGTTAAAGGCGAAATATACCTATAGTACATTTAGAATTTTGCATACTCTTAAAGAGACAGTATTGTTTCCTTGTCTTGAATTTTGATTCATCCTTGGGGAAGTAAAATCATGCTAGAGAGACAATAATACAAAAGCCTCTGGAAGAGGCTCATACGTAGCTCCATGGTAGAGCTCTTGCCTAGCATGCGTGAGACCTTGAGTCTTAAGTTCAGTGCTGAGCATTGAAATAAAAAAAGAAAAGCCTCGGGAGGATTCAGTGTATCTTTCTTCGTGATTCACCACAAGTCGTTCTTGCTACCTGATTTTCTCCTAGGCATTAATCAACATGTTGTGCCGCTCAGCAAAACTGCATTTTCTAGTGATTGTATTTCAAATATGTTACTTCAGAAAGCTCTTTTGCATATGAGTTATCTTAAACTTAGGCTTACAGTAGTAGAGAATCTTAGAAGTCAAACTGGAATTCATCTATCCATGTATTGTTTAAGCACCTTCTTTTTGTTTTGTTTTGTTTCAAGCACCTTCTAATTGCCAGGCATTGTTCTGGTCAACGGTTATGAAGCTCAGAGCCCCACAAAGTTTTTATCCTTCCTGACACTGTGTTGTAGTAGGAAAGACATGTAATTGAAAAAGATTTACATAGTATATCAGTAATTGTGTTTTTAAATGGGTTTTATTAATGCTTAGTAGTTGGGAGCTTATTGGATTATCTCTTGGTTTCTACCAGAGTACAAGTCAAAAACTTTATATAGAATGAAAAAGATAACCTTAGTCATCGTGAAAGTCATTAAAGTGTCCTAAGTGTGGCTTTAAATAAAGCTTTTAATTGTGTATATATCTAAATTTTTTGTTCTTAGGGAATAAACAAAGAGAGTTAAGGGCTGTTCAAGACAGAGGATCCCACGAAGAGTTTTCCTGCTGGCAAATCTGGCAACAAATTACAAGTGACTTCAGCATGTTTCACAACTCCATGATAAATAATATTCAATTCCACAAACAAGACGATGCCATCTGCCATGTTGGGGTAGGACTACGTATTCAAATCTCTAAAGATGAAAACTGTCTAGAAAATGATGAAACAGATGTTCTCAATAATACTGGAGATCCAGAATTTCCAACTTTCACAATCCAGGATTCACGGAGGAAAACTTTGACCGAATCACAGAATTATCAGAATAGATGTCAGCAAATTTCCACGAAACATAAACTGTATCAGTATAAACAAGGTGTTGACCACATCAGCTGGATTTCACATCACCATGAGGATTATAGAGAACACAAAAGTGAAAAATCTTATAGCTCCAATGATTATGGGAAAGATAACATACAGATTTCAACATTTTATCAATGTAGGATGCTTCACCCAGGACAGAAACCTCCCCAGTGTAAGGACTGTGAAAAAGCCTTCATTGATCTCTCCAGCTTTGATGCCCAGCAGCAGTTAAACTCTGGAGAGAAGTCTCAGACATGTACTGAGTGTAGAAAAGGCCTCCAGGATAACTCAGTTCTTTGTGTTCATCAGAGAGCTGACCTGGAAAAACCACATGAGTGTGATAAAAAATTGAGCTCATATCTACAGACCCATCAGAGAGTTCACACAGCAGTGAGACCATACAAGTGTGAGCAGTGTGGAAAGAATTTCAGTCATAGATCAGCCCTTGGCGTTCATTGTAAAGTCCACACAGGAGAGAAGCCTTATAACTGTGAGGAGTGCGGAAGGGCCTTTAGTCAGGCCTTTCATCTTCAGTCCCATCAGAGAGTCCACACAGGAGAGAAACCATACAAATGTGAGGAATGTGGGAAGGGTTTTATTTGTAGCTCAAATCTTCACATTCATCAGAGGGTCCACACAGGAGAAAAACCCTATAAATGTGAGGAATGTGGTAAAGGCTTTAGTCGACCGTCAAGTCTTCAAGCCCATCAGGGAGCCCACACTGGAGAGAAATCATACATATGTACTGTGTGTGGTAAAGGCTTTACTCTGAGTTCAAATCTTCAAGCCCATGTGAGAGTCCACACTGGAGAGAAACCGTACACATGTGAGGAGTGTGGGAAGAGCTTCAGGAGGAACTCCCATTATCAAGTTCATCTAGTGGTCCACACAGGAGAGAAGCCCTATAAATGTGGGGTATGTGGGAAGGGGTTTAGTCAGAGTTCTTACCTTCAAATCCATCAGAAGGCTCACAGTGTGGAAAAACCATTTAAGTGTGAAGAGTGCGGGCAGGGCTTCAATCAGAGCTCACGACTTCAGCTTCACCAACTAGTTCACACTGGAGAGAAACCGTACAAGTGTGAAGACTGTGCAAAGGGATTCAGCCGGAGAGCAGATCTTAAAATCCATTGCAGAATTCACACAGGAGAAAAACCGTATAATTGTGAGGAGTGTGGGAAGGGCTTCAGGCAGGCCTCAAATCTTTTGGCCCATCAGAGAGTCCACAGTGGAGAAAGGCCATTCAAATGTGAGGAGTGTGGGAAAAGCTTTGGTCGGAGCTCGCACCTCCAAGCCCATCAAAAAGTCCACACTGGCGAAAAGCCATACAAATGTGAGGAGTGTGGGAAGGGCTTCAAATGGAGCTTGAATCTTGACATGCATCAGAGGGTCCACACTGGAGAAAAACCATACAAGTGTGGGGAATGTGGTAAGTACTTTAGTCAAGCTTCAAGTCTCCAGCTTCACCAGAGTGTGCACACTGGAGAGAAACCATACAAATGTGACGTGTGTGGTAAAGTCTTCAGTCGGTCCTCACAACTGCAGTCTCATCAGAGAGTTCACACGGGGGAGAAGCCTTACACTTGTGAGATATGTAGTAAGACCTTCAGTTGGCGATCAAATCTTACAATTCATCGCAGAACTCATGTAGGTGATAAGTCTTATAAAAGTTAGGATGGTAAGAATAGAGAATCCACACAAAAGAGTTCTATAAAATGATATTTTTGAAGACTTGACGTGTCGTGAATTTTTATACTCACCTCAGAAGAAAACTTACTTGTTTTAGCTATAGCAATTCCTGCTATGATCGTTCAGGACATACAACAGAGAAAACTCTTAAAATTGTATTAGAAAGAATGTTGCCCTTTCTCAAATGTTACTTGGGCCTTGAAAGCACGGTTTCAGGTCTGGAAAAGTGTCACATCAAAGTTAGCGTTCGCTAGGACTTTTAACTCCATAAAGGCAAAAATTGCTGCGTCTGCATACTCTGCATTGTCAGGTAGTTCAAAGGTGCCCAGTATTTGTAAAATTAGTGAGGAAGTAGGGTATTTGAAAATCGTTTTGAGATTACCCCCAGAATACTGTGAATTCGTGTTTAGAATAGAAAACTTGAAAGTAATGAAATTAACTCAGGGAGCTAAGGTGAAACAAAACCGCGCCATATTGCAATCTGTAATATGAATTTGGCATTGCCCTGTTATGACTAGCCCTGTACTCCTCAGTCTTATCAAGTTGACCCATCTTATTGAACTTTAGCGTTCTGTTGATTTTATACAGTATGGATTTATTTCTCTTGAGATAACAGAAAAAATGAATTTCATTAATCTTGTAATAACGTGGCCACTGCACCTCACTGGGTGTGGTGACTCACCCCTGTAGTCCCAGCACTGAGGTAGTTGAGGCAGGAGGGTCTATGAGAATTTGAGGCCAGCCTGAACTACAAAGCAAGACCCTGTCTCACAAAATTAGAAATTTTTTAGGGGGGCATGGTGGTGCATGCCTGTAATCCCAGCACTCAGGAGGCTGAGGCAAGAGGATCACTATGAGTTCAAGACCAGCCTGGGCTACATAGTGAGTTCCAGGTCAGTCTCAACTACATAGTGAAAAGCAAAAAAAAAAAAAAATTTTTTTTTTAAAGACACTGCACACTACACTCTTGATTATTTTAAAATATTGATTTTTTGGGCCGGGGATTTAGCTCAGTTCTGGCGCCTGCCTTGCAAGCACAAGGACCTGAGTTTGAATCCCAGTACCAAGAAAAAAAAATTTTATTTCTTAAAAAATGGTTTCACTATACAGTCCAGGCTAGCCTTGAACTCTATGTATCCCAGGTTGGCCTTGAACTCACATTGGATCCTTCTGCCTCAGCTTTCCCAGGCTGGGGTTGCAAGCATGCATCACAACAGCCAGCTGAAAATTGATCATTTTTTATTCCCACATTTCATCCAAAATTTGATTGGATGATTGTCTTCCAAGAGCTTTGGCATTATTTTTTATCAAAACTTCAGTAGAGGGTATTTGCAGTTGATTACTTTGGTCAAATTCTCTATCCCATGTTCTCCCTTTCCCTAAGATGATTCAAGTCTTGTTCTTAGGAAAAATGACAAAAAATATTAGAATTGGATAATTATCAAACATAACAAATTATTGGTTTATGAATGACTCACTTTTTCTTAGCAGTGGGAGTAGGAAAAAGACACTTGGGAGTTTTGGTCAGAATATAGAACAGGGATGGTGAACCTTTTAGAGCTTTCAGTGATAACAGGCCGCTGGGGCAGGAGGGCCATAGGTTCACCACTGCTGATGAGAATATGCATTCCTTGCCGGGCGTGGTGGCACATGCCTGTAATCCCAGCACTCGGGAGGCTGAGGCAGGAGGATCACTGTGAGTTCGAGACCAGCCTGGGCTACATAGTGAATTCCAGGTCAAACTCAAATACATAGTGAGACCCTGTCTCAAAAAAAAAAAAAAAATGCATTCCTTTGACAGACTTGGAACTTATGATTAGGAAGCTTACATAGAAGAAATGAGTAATAAGCACATCAGTGATGTTGCTGTTTTGTGAAAGTGGAAGTGTTAAGGAGATTTTTAATTTAAAATATTAACAAAATTACACATTTTGGAACTGGCTGATGTTTCAGTGGGAATTTAATATTTTTACCTACTGCAATAACAGGTTCATTGAAGTTATTAACAATTATGACACAGTAATGTAGTTTAGGGTCATCACATAACCGTAAACTGATTAGTGCATTTGTGTGTGGGAGTTTATTCAGCTGTATATGAACAGTGGCGAGAAGGCAGGAATTTTTCCACATTTAACTTCCCCCAAATACTATATTTTTACAGTAATAGTTAAACTACTTAGAGAACCCTGAGCGCGGTGGCGCACACCTGTAATCCCAGCACTCGGGAGGCTGAGGCAGGAGGATCGCTGTGAGTTAGAGACCAGCCTGGGCTACATAGTGAGATCCTGTCTCAAAAAACAAACAAACAAAAACTACTTAGAGTATGACCTGGAAAATTATTGAAAACATCAATCCCTTGTAGTTAAGGAATCACGTAACACATAAAGCCGGAATTAAAGTGTGGAATTCAAAGTCAGTTATTTTAAAAATTGTGCAGATGAAATATACAGATACATTGGTGAATATGAATATATATTTTCAACTCATACTTGGAATCATTGTAGGCATAAGCTGATAAATGCATCCTAGATGGCTTCAGTGCAATTTCAATACAGTGGGTGCTCAAGTTACAACTGGCCTGACATAGAACAACTTGGGTCAATTAGATTCATGGAAAATTCATCTGCCTCTGGTTGTCTACAGTGTGTACTCAGGTAAACATCCAGATCTCAGCTGTATTGACTTAGAACCAATTTGAGTTACAACCAGCCCTTAGGAACCGATTGAGTTCAATAGTCAAAGGGCTACTGTATAAGGAATCGATGCCTCCTAGTTTTTCAGACTTCTCAACTAGCTAAATGGTTAGCCAGAGCAATGGATTTTTTTCTTTTTTTTTTCTTCTTTTTTTTTTTAAACTGGGGATCAAACTCAGGACCTTGTGCCTGCAGAACTAGCGAGCCTTTCCAAATACTATGTGGCGAAGAAACTCGAACTGTGCGGGGGGCGGGAAAGGATGGAAAGTGTTTACAAAGTTGCGGAGCAAATCCTAAAGATGAAAAAAGGAAGCCTGTAAGTTGTAGAGATAAATTGTGATAAGGATTCGAATAAAAAGTGCGTAGGGGGAGCACGGCGTGGTGCCAGTGGAGTGTAGTAATGGAAATGTGCCGTTACGTAGGATTGAAGACCATTTCTCAGGGATCTCGGTGATATTTAAAGCTTATTTGTTAAGGGGTTTCAGTGAAGTTTATATACAGTGGAAACGATAGGGCTCTATGATTTGCTGACTCACACCTTTACACGCTCAATATACCAGGCTGTGGTACCTCAGATTGTGGTAGATGCCGCAAGTCCTGGGCCTTTGATGCTTTATTATTCTTAGTAGGTATCAGGATAGTTCACCAACTCTCGAGGTAATTTGTAATTTAACGGGGTTAATCCAGGGGTTGGCAAACTGTATCCTCAGGCAAATCCAGCCCAGTGCATTTAGAATTTTACTGGAATGTTAAAGTGCTTAATTTATGTATCACCTGTGGCTGCTTTCTTGTTGCAATGACAGTTGTGACACCATGGCCCACAAAAATGAGAATATTTACATTCTGGCCCTTTATGAAAAGCGTTGTTGTCCCTAGTTAAAACAAAATGGTTTGTCTCTTGTAACTGAAAATACCACATGTAGTTTAGGATGTAGGCCTTGTTGAGTCACGTTTCCTTGATATACTGTGATAATTTCTTTGCTTTTGAAAGAAGAGATGACTACGAGGGCTTCTTTTTCATCCTCGCATTTGCTCTTCCCCTTGACCGTGGTCTTTAGGTTCGTTCAAATATGTTGGTAACAACCAGGAGCTACCTGTCTCTTCACGGCCAATGAGAGAGCTGCTCTTTGATTTGTAGTTTTGAGAAGTTCACTGTCACGATGTGCATGGCTGGGCTGATCCTGACTCCCATCTACATTGAAAACTGAACTTTTTGCAAGGTGTGATGGTGCACACCTGCACTTCCAGCTTCTGAGGAGCCTGAGGCAGGAGGATCATATGTTTGAGGCCAGACTGGGCAATTTAGCAACAACCTATTTCAAATTTCTAAATGTGAAAGGAGTGGGAATGTATCGTAATGGTACAGTGCTTACCTAGTACATTCAAGACCTTGTGTTCACTCCCCAGTACCATAAGTAAACTGTGTGCTTAGTTATCTTGGCCTTTATGAGTTATTAAATTGCAATTCTCATGTCATCTTGGGCTTGATTGTAGGCTTCTCAAAGATTTTCCTATTTTAAACTTTGAGATTGAATACATATAAACATTTGGGGGACTTTTATTTATTACCAACTTTTGTTTTGGGGGGTTTTGAGACAGTCTTGCTTATAGTTTAGGCTGGCTTTGATCTCACTATGTAGCTCAGGTTGGCCTCTAACTCACAGTGATCCTCCTGCCTCAGCCTTTGTTTGTTTGTTTGTTTGTTTTCTTGGTACTGGGAATTGAACTGAGAACCTTTGAGTTCTTTCTTTCTCATTTTGCTTTTTGAGACAGAGTCTCACTACGTAGTTCAGGCTGGTCTTGAACTCGTGGCACTTCTTCTGCCTCAGCCTCCTGAGGCCTGGTATTACAGCATGTGCCACCTTACCTGGTTCCACATTTCTTTGAGAGTCCATTCTATCATACACTTGTGCAAATAAAGGGCTGGAAATGGGACCGGAGATTTAGCTTAGTGGTGCTGCCGCTTGCCTTCCCAGTTCAATCCCAGGTAACAACAATAACAACAAAAGGGCTGGAAATGTATCTCAGTTCCAAGGCTGTGGGTTCGATCCCCAGTATGGATAACAACAACAGATGTTTAAACATAAACCTGTTTTTTTCCATTGAGTACAACCTTGACTATTTATTACAATGGCTCTTATTGCTTTGAGAAGTTCTCCACAGAAGTCTACCCTGAAGCTTGTGTTTTAACTTTTGAATGTCTGTGTCCAGCAGGCAAGTTGTTTTGAATTGCTTGTACTGTTAATAAAGGTGGAAATCTACAATATATCTGCCTCCATTGCAGTTTTTAATTTGTATTTTTATTAGTATATGATTGCAGTACACAATGATTTAATGATTACATTCATCACAGGGAGTTGGTACTTACGTATTACATCTTAATTCTTTTTACATCCCTTTTACCACCCCTCCCTCCTCCTCTGTCCATCTCTTGGTCCTCTATCAATTTACAAAATACCAATCTTCTTATTCCTATTGCACTTTTTTGGGCTTTCACTCTTTTTGTATCTAGAGTATCTTTCCTGTTAGTTGATCCTATTAAATATAAACATTGAAAATTAAAGGCTTCTCCCCCCTCCTTTCTTTCTTGTGTTGTGTCCAGATCCCGAAGTCCCCAAAGACCACCAAGGAGTCGAGTCCGATGTAAATGCACAAGGAGTTTATTGCAAGCTCCAGCCCTGGACCCTCTTGCCTCACCGACTAAGCGAATCAGAAACAAGAGCCCCGACCCCCTTCTAAGGCATAACTTTATAGGGTTTGGGAGGCTTGAAATCCGCTCTTTCTCACTGGTGTTATCTTCTACTTTTTATTCCTATTGGGTGTTGCTAGGGCACTTGTGAAAGTAGGAAAAGACTATTTCAGGGTGGAGAGGGAGCTAGTTCAGGGAGAGGTCAGTGTGTTCAGGAACGTGGTGGGCTTCCCTTATCTATACAGACCCTCCTGTCTTTCTACTCTGTAAGTTTATGGTTTCTTTTCCCAGCAATCTGGCCTTGCCCTTATCTCGACTAAGCAAATTCCTGCTTGAGTTCATCTAGGAGTTTCATTTAACATACGATGGCGTTGTCTTAAAATGGAGTTACTTTGGTTTCTACACTTGGTAGTAGTGGGTATAGTTCTATTGGGAAAGGATCAAATGATACGTTTCTTACAATCATTATTTTAAGACTCTTGACTCTCACAGTTTCGCTTTTACTTTTTTATTTGTCAATGAGAAATCGCTAAACTCTGCTGACGTCCGGGAACCGCCTCGGGTCGGCAAAATGGCGGGAAGCCATGAAAAGGACTGTAGAAGCTGCGGTCCGGGAACTCCGGGAGTGAGGAGATTGTATTTTTCTTTCTTGTGAAGACGGATGGTACCTGTTCCGCAACGGGAACTTATGAGAACCATCTGCCCGGGTCTCCGGCCGGAAGCTGGCCAATGGGGGAAGCTCAGCGTCCGCTGTCCTGGGCCTTCTGGGAAATGTAGTTCCGGTGCTCGGAATAGTCTGAGCCGCTTCCACCCAGGAGAGGGAGACAGTGCCACCATCTTTTCGGTCAGAAAGGTGAGTACAGTACGCCCTTCGCTTCCACCATCCTTCGGAGCCCTTTCAGCCTGCGAGTGGGACCCGACTGGGCGGTCGCTTTAGCCCCGGGAAGTCGCGGCCGCCGGCGGAGGCTGAAGGGCGGAGGGCGGAAGTGCGGTTGCCCTCTGTGTCTTCCCCGCCCCACAGCAGCGCTGCGGCTTCCATCGGCGCGAGACCTGCGCTCCAGTTTCCAAATCTGTAAAGTAGCAGTGAAGCTGCCGGTTACGGGGTGGGGGCGTGATTAGAATCGAACCAGACCACACCTGTCAAAGGCTTGGGCTGTGTTGGCGCGGGTAACGGGTTTCCTTTGGCTGCTGACAGAAATGCTCTCACAAGCGCCCTTTTCAGGGAAGTCCCTTGAAGAGAAACGAGATCAGGGCTCCGGGCCCTTCGGTTGCATCCTTCAGGAAAGAGAGGGACAAGAGACGGGAGCGACGTGCAGTCTCATCTCACTGCATGCTTTTCTTCGCCCCGGTAAGAGCAAGCAGAAAGGACTTCTCCCAGCCTCACCCGGCTACCACTATTTTAAGTACCGTCTTGTTCCGTCATCTTTTCGGTTAACCAAGTTTCCCTCACAAGTTACCACACATCTTTTTGAGTAAATGTGAGAATGGGTAGGAGAGAGACTTGGAAATGAAATTATTAATAGCATCTCACCACTTTGATGTCTAGGCCTTCTTCTCTGAACTATGTATCTATATAGATCGATGAAGTAGATCTTTTTATTGCCTTTATTTTAAAGGATGAGAAAATGAGACAGAGAAAAGATGCATTGTTTCCCCAAAGTCATTCATCTTAATATTCAGAGCTGGCTTTGTAGTTGAACCGCAAGTGTTGTTTTTCAGGGCCCCTTTTCTTAATCCGAGTGATAAAATGACCTTCGGTTATCCTAACTAGTAATCCATCTGGCTGAGGGGGCTTCATCTGAGAAAAAGCGATGGGAGGGAACTATAGTTGGAACGTTTCTTATGGAAGACCTTGAAAACTACACTGATTTTTTTAAAAAAACCCCAACACATCTCTTTCATTTCATTTGACTCCAGGTCAAATAAAGTAAGTCACATGCTGGTTATAGCAGTAACAAATCCCGGTTACAGCGATGCTGCCCTATCTAGTGCCTTGTGATTTTACACCTTATGAACGCTTTGACATGTGCTATTAGGTGTGAAATAAACATTGGATTTTAGTTAGAGTGTACAAAAAGATACAAGGTGGGACATTAATTATTTTTCTGCATTGATTACATGTTCAAATGATGTTTTGGATAAATTACACCATTAAATAAATATAAATTTACTCCAAAATAAATATACTGTTAAAATTAACTTCACCTATCTTTGTATTTTGTTTCATTTTTGCCTTTTTACATTGTCACTACTAGAAAATCTGAGTTTACTTGTCTGATTAGGTATGTTTTTATTGGACAGATAGCTAATTCAACAAATACACAAATGAATAAAAATTAAATATTACTGTGTTAATATTCGCTGCATATGTATTTATGGTTGTTTCTCAAAATTGGCAAGCAAAGGGCCAGGGTTTAGCTCAGTGGTTCTGCTGCTTGCCTCCCAAGCACAAGGACCCGAGTTTGATCCCTGGTACCAAAAAAAAAACAAAGCAAAAAACCATAGCCAGAACTGGCAAGCAAGTCTGTAGTTTCTTTCCCTTATTATGGAAATTTCCAAGCATATACAACTGTAAAGAGTAATATAATACAGTGAATCCTCATGTCATCAAGACTTAGTTTCAACCTCTCTCTTCTTGTGTGTCTGTTTGTGACAGGGTCTTGTTATGTTGCCTAGGCTGGTCTCAAACTCATGGGCTCTAGCAGCCCTCCTGCCTCAGCTTCCCAGGTAGCTGGGACTACTTCCATTTACCTTAAATAGAGTATTTTAAAGCATATCCCAAACATCAGGTAAACTTTCCGTAAATTGTACCATGACCTGTAAACAGAAGCTTGCTTTTGGCATTTGCTCAGTGTATCTTTTTCCATGCCTTTTCTTTCACATTTTTTGTCATTATGTTTTAGTAGCATCTGTTAGAATATGAGATTTGTTCTTTTCATGTAGTCAGGGATGTTTAATCTTCTGTGTGTGTGTGTGTGTTCTATATGTACACGTATGTATCTTTAATGTAGTACACTTTGCACTGCTCCTTCTTTCTCTCTTGTTTTCAGCTCTGTTCATTCCCTCTTAGTTATCCTCAGTGGATCTAAACCTATATACTCTTAGGTCATTCTTTTAACTTTTTTGGGGGGTACCAGGGATTGAACTTGGGTCCTTGTGCTTGCAAGGCAGGCCACACAACCGCTAAATCCCTGGCCCCATTCTTTTAACTTTTAAAACTGTCCATGTCAAAAAATGGCTGCATGTATTGTCATTCTGAAAAATACAGAGAAAAAAACCTTAGAATTTGATAATATCCCTTTCTGTTGGTCTGTTTTTAATTATAAGCTAGGTTATAGGTCTACATTTTATGTATCCTCAAAACTGGTCATTATTTGTTCTTGGCTTACTTTTTTTAATAAAGATTTTTCTGTTGTCAATATATTTATGAATATTTTTTCACATTACTTTTTGCAGTTTATTTTTCAGAGTTAATATACTCATAAATTTTATTCATTATTGTTCATCTAAAATGTCTTTGTACCTCAGACCTTGTATAAACAATCTTTTTTTTTTTTTTTCTTAGCATACAAAGGTAGACAGCTCTTTTCTTAACTGTGCAGATAGTTTTCAGTTGTTTTTGGTCTCCCATTTAGTTACCCTGTTTCTGTTAATTGTCACTTATTTTAGCTATTTTTATTTTCTTTCTGAGAGCTTTAAGATTATATTGGCTGTTTTCAGCAATTTGTTTAGTCTATTGCTAAGGTTTTACATTGCTATGTTAGTTTAGGAGTATGTTTATTTTTTATTCTGTGTAGCATACCTGAATGTAAGTGCATATCTTTTATCAGTTGTGGGACATTCTCAGCAATTACCTCTCTTTTTTTTGAGACAGGGTCTCACTCACTGTAGTCCAGGCTTTCCTTGAACTCACTATGTAGCCCAGGTTGGCCTCAGAGTCGCAGTGATTCTCCTGCCTCAGTATCCCACGAGTCCTGCTGGAGAGAGTGGCCATCCACCTCCTCAGAAGGGAAGAAGTGTGCCCCAGGATTTTCTGGGTTCCCTTTTTAGGCCTCAGAGGCCAGCTCAGTGGCACGACCCAGGTAGAGGCCCAACACAGGCTGTGTCATTTAGCCCTTTTCTTCCTGGCCAGTGTACCAAATGTTACAGAAGGAATTGGTAACTGACACACAGAGAGGCGGCAGAATGGAAGTAAAATAAGACAAAGCTTTATTTTGTTGACAAAGGTCGATCACGCCTGATAGCAGTGCCCTGATCAACCAAGTACGGGGCTATAGCTTCTCCTTTTATAGGATTTTACAACCTTGCTCTCATTCAGGTGGTTACATTTCATTCTCACAGTCCACATTGCTGATAAATCATGGTCACAAGACAGTTCAATTTCAATCCAGAAGTAGCACTCCTTTTGGGTGAGTTTACCTTTAAGATTTGTCTAGCTATCATCCAAGATGTAGCACTTCCCTGTTAGGGGAGTTTACCTTTAAAATTTGTGCGGCTCTCTATTCAAGCCCAGGGGAAGAGACTTTTCTGTTCAGGAAAACAAAGTTAACAGTAGTTCTTTCCATCTTTAAAATCATGTGGTTTACAAAACTTTTGAGCTAGGGGTTCTTGATGTGTGTCCTGTTAACTCAGGATGAGACTAGATGTCTCACTCAGTGGTTAATGCCTCTGGTGTCTGTTGATTCTGAACTAAACAAAGCAAACTGCTGTTGGGGATGGCAGAAATCATTTACATTGTGACATTTTGTAGGTTTTTGTGAAAAAGTTTTCTCTGTCAGGATTGCAGGCATGTTCAGCAGTTACCTTTTGAGGATATTCTCCTCTGCCATTTGTTTCATTCCCTTATTTTCATGTTGCTTTTCAACAAATGTTGGAGCTTTTTGACTTATTTCTATCCATCTTGATTTTTCTTTTATTCTTCATCTTTTCTTTGCTATGTGTTTTTCTTTATCTCCGTGCACATAGTATAAAAGGGATTTATCAGTGAGCCTTTTCTCATTTCATGAAAGGAATTGACCTTGAAATAATACTTTATAGAAAACTGATGCCAGTATTAATAAAAAATGACTAGTGGGCAACAAATTATAAACTAAGAAGTTATTTTAAGTCAGAATTAGTCTTTTTCACAAATTAAAGGTGACTTTCACGGAAGCACAATCTTTGTAAGAACTGAATATCTCAAAGTATCATCCTTTTTTTTTTTTTGGTAGCTACCAGAGAGGAGGACTCTGGTTCTTGGAGCTCTCCATCTGCTCATTTAATCCCTGTAGCTACCCTATGAGGTCGGTGCAGTGTATGCGTCTTCTCTTCATTGGCAGATGGCAAAAGTGAGGCACGGAGAATTATTTGTTAAACATTGCTTGGGCCACACAGATGGTGAAGTGTCACTCTCAAGGCACTCGACTCCGGAGCACACCATTTCGTGGCCCACATGTTCCCCTCTCCGCTGTCAGTCCCAGGATTAGAAAATCTCATAGAGGGCTGGGGCTGTAGCTCAGCGGTAGAGCACTTGCCTGGCATACACAAGCCACTGGGTTCAATCCCTAGTTCCATGAAAATTAAAAAGGAAAGGGAGGGGGAGGTTATTTATAGAACTTCCCACAGCCATATTGCATTTGGTCTTTCAGGGTCATCCACTCCTGCTGGCGCTGAACTGGAAGGCAGTTAGTGGCTGGGATCTCGTCCCTGCTCCAGTCACCAATCTAAATGTGGTGACATCTGTCTGGAAGGAAGGAGGGGCTGTGGTGTAATTTCCATAAAGAGCCACTTGGAAACATGGCAGCTCTGACCTGTGTCTCATGGGCTCCTTTCCCTTCGTCAGTTATGCCTTCTCAGGGCTCTCACCTTCCCCAGAAGGAACAGGTGAAAATGACCGTACTACAAGTAAGGTGTTTTCCTGTTTTATAATACAAAACTGTGATTTTCTGGTGTGGATCTGTGCTTTGGTATCCTCTCTGCCCTTCTCAGTGCTCCCCTTCCTCCAGGGGAGCTGCAGGACTGAGGTTATGTGTGTTTGATGTTGTAGGAGGCGGTAACATTCAAGGATGTGGCTGTGGTCTTCACCACTGAAGAGCTGGGGCTGCTGGACTGTACGCAGAGGAAGCTGTATGAAGACGTAATGGTGGAGAATTTTAAGAACCTGGTCGCAGTGGGTAAGGACAGGCACCCTTTGCCCCCGAACTTCAACTCCCTTCAGATGTTGAAGGCTTTGGACCATTTCAGATAGTTTCCTGCTCTTGAAAACAACGTATTTTCTAACCCCTGGGATAACAGAGTGTTTTCAGGGTTTTGTGCTTATGTAAAATTCCATCCTTTTAAATCGCTGGTTTTCAGTCAGGCATGATTTTTTCATCAAAGAATATTTGTCAAAGTCTGGACACAGTTGTGGCAGCCTAGAGGGGAGTACATGCAGGCACGTGGATAGTAGCTGGGGATGCTGGTGAACTTCCTGCAATGCTCAGTCACACAGCAGAGAATGGGCCAGTCCAGAGCATCAACAGTGCCACAGTTGAGAAACCCTATTTTCAGTGAACTATAAATGGACAATTTAGCATGTGTAGTTTGCCTTTCAAATTATGGCTGTGACTCACTGTCGGGTCATGAAATAAACATAGCACCTTTTACTGGCATTTTTTACCCAGTGACATAAATAAGGATAGAATATATCAGTTCCTTCTCAAGAATCACACATTGCAGCAAAATCTGACCATTGCCAGTGAGTGATGTGAGAGATAGTGTTGGAAACATGATAAAAATATACATTGGTTTTAAATTTAACTTAATATAGGTACAGGGATAGAGATATAAACTAGGCTATGACCTAAATTCCTTATTGGACAATCAAAAAAGTTCTTGAAATGCCACTTGGGTTCTGAGGAGTATGTGATTTAGACAGAAGTGCATTTTAGATATGTTTTCACCTGAAATATATATTTCTGTGCCTTTTCTTAGGGCATCTTCCTTTCCAACCAGACATGGTTTCCCAGTTGGAAGCAGAAGAAAAGCTCTGGATGATGGAAACAGAAACCCAGAGAAGTAGGTATTCTGGTGCAAACCACAGGCCTGCTCTTTCAGACACCAACTGGCCTGAGCCTCGTCCTTTTAGAAACATAGTGGTACCTCAGTTCATGAACTCATCCTTCATGATTCTGGTCACAAACCGAACTGTTGGAGAACCAAATCAAATCTCCCCATAAACTCAACATTGAACCTGACCACTGAATTGCAGTTCCTATTCACTTCAGTTTGCCACCAGAATCCTGGGATTGAGTTTGTGAACCGAGGAACCCTGTATTACATTAGGATAAGTTCTTGCTAAGTTACCCAGGGTGGCCTCAGCCTCAATAGCTGAAATTACATGCTGGCTAATAAGCTCTTAATGGATATTATTGTAGGTTGTCTTTTTGAGGCCCTGCAGCCATCTGATTCAAGCTTGTGACGCTTATGTTTCTAAGTGGGTCACGTTGATCCCATTGTGTATCCCACTTGCAGGAAAAACTTAAGAATGAATAATGTTGTAAGCCTTCCCTGGCTTCTTAAGGCCTTACCTTGTGACCTTGATGTGAAACTGATATTTCTGAAGAAAAACATCCACCTGTGACCATTTCTGAATTTTGCTTTCTTCTATAGGTAACATGAATCAAAATGAGATGGAGACTCTTCGAAAATTTGCATTGAAATATCTTTCAAATGAAGAGCTATCCTGCTGGCAAATCTGGAAACACGTCGCCAGTGAATTAACCAGGTGTCTTCACAGGACACCTTCCCAACTGCTACAAGGTGGTTGCGTTCAAGTTTCTGAAAATGACAACAGCGCTAAGTATCATAAAAGAGATCGCTCCAGGTACACCGAAAATCAAGAGTTTTCAGTGTCAAGAACCCAGTGTCCCTCCCAAAGTGAGTACCTGATCGAGTCACAGAACCAGAACAGAGATAAGCAAACCAACGTGAAGAACAGCCTGCGCGTGTGTGAGGATACGATGCAGAAAGCACTGGGTGAGCAAATGAACTGCGCCCCAGAGCGGAAAGCCTGCCGACGTAGTGAGCGTGGCGCGAGCGTGGGTGATGGCCGCAGTCAGCTGGAGCCCTCAGGAGAGCCACTTCTTCCATGTGAGTGGGGAAGGGGCTTCCGTCACGGCTCAGTGCTTCCGCAGGGGGCTCAGGCGCTGGAGCGACGCTCCCGTCAAAGCCCACACCTGCAGTCTCACCTGAGCGTTCACCCAGGGGAGAAACTGGACGAAGGCCACGAGCCCGGTGCCTGCTCCGGCAAGAGCCGTTTTCTTTCTCATCCGTCGAATCACACAGGCGAGAAGTCCTACAGGTGCGACAGTTGTGGCAAGGGATTCAGTAGCAGCACAGGTCTCATCATCCATTACAGAACTCACACTGGAGAGAAACCCTATAGATGTGAGGAGTGTGGTAAATGCTTTAGTCAAAGTTCAAATTTTCAGTGCCATCAGAGGGTCCACACGGAGGAAAAACCGTATAAATGTGAAGAGTGCGGTAAGGGCTTCGGGTGGAGTGTTAATCTCCGCGTCCACCAGAGGGTCCACAGAGGTGAGAAACCCTATAAATGTGAGGAGTGCGGTAAGGGCTTCACTCAGGCTGCACATTTTCACATACACCAGAGAGTCCACACCGGGGAGAAGCCGTACAGATGTGACGTGTGCGGTAAGGGCTTCAGCCACAATTCCCCGTTGATATGCCATCGGAGAGTCCACACCGGCGAGAAGCCCTACACATGTGAGGCGTGCGGGAAGGGCTTCACCCGGAATACGGATCTTCACATCCATTTCAGAGTCCACACAGGAGAAAAACCCTACAAGTGTAAGGAGTGTGGGAAGGGCTTCAGCCAGGCCTCCAATCTCCAGGTCCATCAGAATGTCCACACGGGGGAGAAGCGATTCAAATGTGAAACCTGTGGGAAGGGCTTCAGTCAGTCCTCAAAGCTTCAAACCCACCAGAGGGTCCACACTGGGGAGAAGCCCTACAGATGTGACGTGTGCGGGAAGGACTTCAGCTACAGTTCAAATCTTAAACTGCACCAAGTGATTCACACTGGAGAGAAACCATATAAATGCGAGGAGTGTGGGAAGGGCTTCAGCTGGAGGTCAAATCTTCACGCTCACCAGCGGGTCCACACGGGAGAGAAACCCTACAAATGCGAAGAGTGCGAGAAGAGCTTCAGTCAGGCTATTGATTTTCGAGTCCATCAGCGAGTCCACACCGGAGAGAAGCCGTACAAATGTGGTGTGTGCGGCAAAGGCTTCAGCCAGTCCTCTGGCCTGCAGTCCCATCAGAGAGTCCACACCGGAGAGAAGCCCTACAGATGTGAAGTGTGTGGTAAGGGCTTTCGGTACAGCTCACAGTTTATTTACCATCAGAGAGGCCACACCGGAGAGAAACCCTACAGATGTGAGCAGTGCGGGAAGGGCTTTGGGAGAAGCTTGAACCTTCGCCACCATCAGAGGGTCCACACGGGAGAGAAGCCTCACAAGTGTGAGCAGTGCGGGAAGGCCTTCAGTCTCCCCTCAAATCTTCGGGTTCATTTGAACGTTCACACTAGGGAGAAACTCTTTAAATGTGAGGAGTGTGGGAAGGGCTTCAGTCAAAGTGCACGTCTTCAAACTCACCAGAGAGTCCACACCGGGGAAAAACCATACAAATGTGATGAGTGTGGTAAAGACTTCAGTCACCGTTCCCGTCTTGCATACCATCAGAAAGTCCACACTGGCAGAAAGCTCTAGAAATGAGAGGTTTATTGATGAATCTTATTGGAATACACACATGAGAAAGTCCATGCTGGTGATAAACTTTATAAAAATAACAAGAGTAACTGTCCACACTGGCAGAAAGCTCTAGAAATGAGAGGTTTATTGATGAATCTTATTGGAATACACACCTTCATGGTTTGAGAAAGTCCATGCTGGTGATAAACTTTATAAAAATAACAAGAGTAGTATTTCTTCAGACTCAGAATCTTAACATATCCTTTAAAATGATGACATAGAAACAGTAACAGGACTACTATATTTAAGGAAGTAGAGATTGCTGTCCTCTTAGCAATATACATGTAATACAGATGACCTTTCAGTGTGACGCTGGTAATGTACAAAAGGGTATTTGTCACGTGCTAAGTAGTTATTTCAATTTTTCGGTCAGGGAGGGTTGTGCGTTATTTGTCTTTTTTACACCGGACACTGACCATTTATATCAAAACTATAAAGCTATGAAAAACGAATAAAATTACTAAGTGTTCTGTAGCTAAGGACTCATAATGTGATACTATTTCATGTGGTATAGTGGGTTAACATGAAAGAGCAGATCCCCAGCGATGAATCTTGGATCTTCAAAAGTAAATTTGTACCACAGATGTGTATGAAAAGTTGTCTATGGCTTTATTGGTTTAGTAGGAATGAGAAATAATCAGTTGGATTGCCACAGTATTTTATGCTTTATCAGCCAACGGAACACTGTACAAACATCTAAGAAGAGGAGGTAAATTTGTAGTTACAGAGGCTGGACAGTGTCTGGAATATATTAACCTGTTCCCGTCTACCTCACAAGCACAAGGACCTGAGTTCGATCCCCACTACCAAAAAAAAAAATTCTATGGAATATATTAACCTGGAAAAGCAAAAAGCATTAGATTTTTTGTGATCCTATTTAAAAGAAAGGTGTAGATATGTATTTACTTACATTTATCTCTAAATGATGCAAGTTCGATTCATATATATTTTTATATTTCTAGACACTGTATTTTAAAATTGAGACATTACAAATTTGTAAGAAATATTGTAAAATCTCTGTACCCTTGATCCAGATATCACACAATTCTCATTCTGTCCATATTATGTTTTGTTTTTTTTGGTTCAGGAATTGAACTCGGGTCCTTGTGCTTGCAAGGCAGGCAGCAGCACCACTGAGCTAAATCCCCAGTATTCTGTCCATATTGTAAGTGTGTGTACACATGTACATTGCTACCTATGGATGTACACATATTTTAGCCATATGAGTACATTACAGACATCTTACCCCTTACACTAAATACTTAAAAGTGTATATTCCTAAGAAAAGGATATTTACTTAAACAGCCACCATATCACATTCAGAACATTTTAATAGTGATACGTAACACAATTTTATTTAAATTTCATCATTTGTCCTAATACAGTACCTTATTGGGGGAGTTCCTGAGTTCTGTCGAGGATTGTACATGTCACTTAGACACTTTAATTTGGGTCACTGCCTCACTGATTGTTGTTCATAACCTTGAAGTTACTCTTTTCCCCTCTGGAACCAGTAATTTGTGGAAAGATGCTTTCTGCCCTGTAAGTAGTTTGTTTTTCAACAAAATAACCTCGACTGGTCTTAGTATTCAGTACTAAGGGCCTAGCCTAAATTGGTTATTACTGATGATTGTAAAGGGGTAATTTTTCAACCTTCATCATTTTGTCAGCATTCGTTGGATTATCACACTCCTGAGGAAGCGTTTCCCTTCTGTCCCCTTTGTCCGTCACTTGTTTGTCGTAGTTGGAGCACATCCTTATTCTGACGTGATCTTCCAGACTTGTCTTGTACTTTGACTTCCCCAGCCGTGCAATTTTTTATTTCTTTAGGCACCTGGGTTCTTCATACCGGAAAATGGTACTTAGAAATCTGGATTTGGGCAGTAGATGTGTGGTTCCCCCCCACTACCACCACCACTCTTTTCCGAATCCCAGGAGTTTGAAGACAGGTAGATAAACGTACGGATTAATCGCTAGACAGGAAGGGAAGTAGTGTAAGGGAAAGGGGTCTGGAGGCAGGACGAGTGTAGAATAAGGGCCTCATTAGGCTTTCTGGCTAATCCTGACTAGAAAGAGTCGAAACCACTGGAGCGAGTGATTACTGAGACAAGAGGGCAGCTGACTGATGAGCAGAGCACAGGTGTGCTAAACACCAGTATAATTTAAGGAAAAGCAAAACCACAATAAAATTTATGTCACTAGATTGCTATCTGCTTGATTCTCCAGCTTCTGGAGTTCCGCTGTTCCCCCGCGGGTGGCGCCGCTGAACACTTAATGGTGCTGTACTGGGCCACCGCAGGAGCGCATTTAACTGTTGTTAGAGCGTGTGGGTGAAGTATAGTATGTTCAGGGTCTTACATAACAGATTAGCTTGTCACCTTTTCATGGATGCTGGCAGAAAAACAAGCTTTCTTGGTCAAACAATGGTTTCTTGTTGGACTGTGTTGAGTCCATGACCCAGTTCACAGGAGGGTGACTTAAGAGCTTTTGATGTATCCCGCAGTTGGCGGAATTACAGGAGTGGAACGCAGAGCTTGGAAGAAAAAGGGAAGCTTCTATGAGCAATTGCTGGGTAAAGAGCCTTGCACTTTGAACATACCAAGAAAGAGCGTTCAGGGATACACAGGGTTAATGGAAGCCTGCTTTTCTCAACAAATTAAATTTTTTTCTCAAAAAATTAAATGATGCCACAAGGAAGCTAGTATGCAATTGAGAATTTGGGGAATATTATATTTTAAGTGACCTAGTTTACTCAGTAAAGCAGGTACCTGGAGAAAGACAGACGAGGGCTACAGAAACCTAACCAACATAACAATGTAATTAACATAACAGTTTAGATATTGATTTGAATTATTAAAAGTATAAAATATATTTTGGGGACTATTTTAATTTTTTACGGGATAATGTTGATACTTGTGGCTAAGCATTATATGTCTTTAATTAGAGATGTGTAAATATTTAAGGGGATGTGATAAAATGCAATAAGTGATTGAAAAACACTTCTGTAGGGAATTAGAACAAAGCCATAGATAAATCTTGGGGATGAGATAGAGTGTTCCTTGTACTATTCTTTCAACTTTTCTATAATAAAGGTGTACAAAAACTTTTCTAGTTGTTTATTTTCATCAGTAGAAAAATGATTAGTGCCTGATTTCAAGAGCTGAATTTGTTATCTGGGCAGACTTTTCCACTCCCACTTCTATCTTCTAAATAATCATGGCTCATTCATTTCAACCAGCTTGTAGAAAAAAAATAAAGCATTCTACCCCCTTCTGTCTCTCTTAAGAGCTTTCAATAAATTTTCCTACTCTTAAAGCATTCTACTGTATTTATTATGTCAAGAGCAGGCTAAATAAGATTTTTGAAGCTGTAAATGTAAAGGTCAGGGAAGGAAGAGAGGGAAGGAAGGAAAGCATGAGAGAAAAGGAATAAAAAAAGAAAAGTAAGGTCAAGCGCTCAACCCTTTAGAACTGAACCACTTGCACCTGTGTACTGAAAAAAAAAAAAAAAGAAGAAAGAAAATGGGAATCTTGCTGAGGATTCTGGTAAGTGTAGTCCAGGAGGGCGGGGAAAGTTCGCTATAGGCAGTGTGTCTGTGCGGGCGGGTCTGCTGGGGATTCTGGGAAATGTAGTCCGAGAGCTGCGTGCAGTCGGAGCACTTCCGCAGCAGGAGGGTGAGGTCCTCGTCAATCCCGTCTTGGAGGTAAACTAGCGTGGATTCCCAGAGTCTACTCCGGCTTTTCCGGGCGGGGTTTGGGATGCTCAAGTTTGAGCCCTCGCCCTTGGGGAATAGACGCTGTGGTGGCAGGGACAACGGTTTGTGTCCCTTGACTTGCAGGGCGATTCCTAGGTCCCCAAACTGTGGGCCAGCCCGAATTGCGCGTCTCTGGGTTTGAGGGGTTCCCGCTGCTTCTATGCTTTCCGCACAGTTGGCAGCCTTTGGGCCGTATAACCTTGGTAGATTTAATTTCATCGTATCTTCTCCACACAGTGAGTTTAATGGTAGTGCTTACCGATAACAGGTGCTGTGAACTTTAGGTAAATGGTGTAAACATGCTTATAAACTGGTCCTGGCACATTTTAGCAGGTGCCAGGTCGTTGTCGAGTGCTCGGTTCCGATGTTGAGCTCCCCTGCCGCGCCCCTGGCCTTCGCTGATCCCTGCTGGGAGCGCTGTTCCCAGTGACTCCCCTGGGGGCGTTTCACTTCCATCCGGTGCCTGGGGGTGTTCGCTGTGATTTATCCTGGACCAGAGACACCTCGGATTTCTGTCAGCCTCCTTTCCTTCTTCGGCTCTTACATCTCTAGAGGACTGCAAAGAGGGAGGGAAGTGACTCGGTGACTCTGATAATGTTGTGGATGAGCGAGTTGGAGCAATAGAGATGCGCCACTCTTCCTGCCAAATTCAACCCTATTTATTATGTAGCCCGCACCACGGTAGCTAGTGCTCAGAAATTTCCTCGCAATGAGAAGCAGTTTGATTTCTCCGTTTAAATCGTACTTTCAGTTGGGGAGGGCTCAGGGGAGAGCAAGCGGAATCCTACCGAAGCAGAGCCAGGCCAGGTTAGCGAGGGCACGAGGAAGTTTCACACGCACAGGGTGAGCTACAAAACATCCTGCAACTGTAGCAGGTTCGCTGCCAAGCAGGATGTGGGGACTTGGGGTGCACTGTTCTAGTGCAAGCACTTTGTTCTAACGTAGGTACAAACTGGCACTGAGGCACAAGATGGAGTCGGGCTGGCTATTACAGTAACACCCTCCCATGGGGAGACAGTTTGTGTGACCTTTCTGCCTAGCTGGAGAACAAATTCCCTCCGTTCACTAGCATGTCTTTGTTATTTTTTCTGCTTGGCAAATATTCAAATATTTATAAAATAAATAAAAATTGGGTGAGACGCATGTCAATGAATGAGCAGTAATAATTTGTCAGTGTACCCAGTGCCAGCTACTCTTCTATAGGGCTCTCTGTGCATTAATCGGCTCAATACCCATACCACAGATATTGCTATGATACCCACTTTATAGATAAGAATGTAGATAGCTGAAGAATTTAAGTTGTTCTCTCAAAGCCAAAGGGAAGAACCTGAAACAGGAATTTAAACCTTGCAGCCTGGCTGTGTGTGACCTTTGTGTCATGCTGTCCATCAGCCCCCCAAAATTAAGTCCCTATGACTAATGGGGGGTCATGTGGTAATGAATCAGGTTATCTCATCCTGAGATAACAGGCTGCATCAAGACCCCCTAACTCAAAAGTTTTGTAAACCACACGATTGTAAAGACGAAAAGAACCATTGTTAACTTTGTTTTCCTGACCAGGAAAGTCCTTTCCCCTGGTGTAGAATAAGTAGCAGACAAATCGTAAGAAGGAAGTGCTACATCTAGGTTGAAATTCAATGGTCTTGCGACCATGGTTTGTATATCAGCAATATGGATTGTGAGAATAAAATGTAACTACCTAAATAAAATCCTATAAAAGAGGGGGTTATAACAGAGTGCAGGGTCGATCCTGACACTGCTTTTAGTTGCAATCAACCCTCATCGATGGAATAAAGTTTTTGTTATTTTACTTCCATTCTGTGCCTGTGTCACTTACCAATTCCTTCCACAACAGGACAACTATATAATTTGACTGTCAACTGGGAAATAGTAGTGTAATATTGTGGTCTGTGTTCACTTGTCTTAAAATATGTTTACAAACTCTCTTCCTCTTTGACTGCAGATGAGCTTTTCTGTCACAGTGTACTGATCGGTCTGCAGTGATTATGTAATTCCAAGGTCAGGGTAGAAAAAGCCATAGCACTCGTGCTGGCTTCTTAGGGATGCTGGTTTTGACTACCATGTCATGTCCAGTGGCTGTAAAGTCACCATGCTGAGAACACTGTGTAGACACACCTGAGAAATTGAAGCAGGGGGTGGGGGGGTGTGCTCTTTCAGTTCAGGCACTAAACATGAACAGCTCAGAATGTAGTTACACTAGACTCTAAGAATGTATGGGAATTCTTCGTAGTATTCATGCAGCTTTTCTGAATGTTTAGTATATATTCAACATAAATTTAAAATATTTTTTTAAATTCCCCAAACAAGCAAACATTACATACCATTCTAGTTTGTGTCTAGATGTCCCTCTATCAGCCTGAGCTCACAGGTGGGGCTTTTGAAAGCTGGCTGGATCTAGGGTGTGTGGTACTAAATTAGTCCACTGATTAGAATTGGCATAGTTGAGTGTGGGTAATGGATGCCCCACCTGGGGTATGGGTGGAACCGATCAATAGGCTTTTAGCCTGATGGAATATAAAGGGAGAGGGAAGGCAGGCTTGCTGCTTCCAGCCTGCCCTGTCATGGACTATTTCTTCTCTGCAGTGCCCCTCTGCCTTAAATCCAGCTGAATATGGACTGAAACCTCTACAAACTATGAGCTAAAATAAACTCTTCCTCCTTTAACTTTGGGTGTTGGGTACCTTGTCTCAGCAAGGTAAGTAACACATGTCTCACTGTATTTTTATGGTGTTGGGGATTGAATCCAGGTCTTCACACTGAGCACTTTTTTTTTTTTTTAGTTTGAGACAGGGTCTAAGTTGCTAAATTTCTCAGCTGGGTTCAAACTTGTGATCCTACTGCCTCAGCCTCTCAGAATTCTGTGATCAAAGGCATGTGGCACCATACCTGCTTATAAAGCAGTAAGATCATATACACATAATCATACAAAATTATATTTTTCTATTTTCTACTGGGTGTCTACCAATGTCAGTAATTATGAATTAACCTTTCATTCTGCATAATATTCCACTACATGGATAAGCCCCCAAGTATGTTGACAGACAACTGATAAATGCAGTTTGTTATTCCCGTGTCCTTCTGCATACATCTTTAACAGGTTTATGTCATTTAGTGAGGTAAAACATTTCCATTTATGTATAACTTGTTTCAATTGATGTCACTGTAACTTTTTAAGAAGTTAAAGAAAACAAGTATCCCGTACTCCCTGCCAGGCTCTGCTAGATTTCCTTCTGTGCATTATCTTTATGCATATGGTCATCTTTAGATAGACTTCTATTAATTGAATCATACAACAAAGGCTCTAACCTAATTTTCTTATGAATGAGTTTTTCCTCTCATTACAAATCTATTTAATGGCTGTATATTAGAACATAGCAAGATTCAGTCAAATCTTTTACTATTTCCTTTCTAAAAATTCAGAATATCCTTGTTTATGATTTTTCATCGTTGGTACAATCTTGTTTTTTTGTTTTTTTTTTTTGGTACCGGGGATCAAACTCCGGGGGTCCTTGGGCTTGGGAGGCAGGCGCCAGAACCTCTGAGCTAAATCCCTGGCCCCCATTGGTACACTCTTCTGAGCAACATTTCTAGTGCAGAGACTGCCAGGTCAAAGGCTATCTTGATTTATATTCACCAACAAATCTCCCCAAAACTCAGGGTGTTCATTCACACCATGAGGTGTCAAACTCTAACCCCTCAAAATTCAACAGGTTTCTGGCATACCCCCTCCCCATTCTGAGAGTAAAAGCACTAGACATGAGGAATCTGACAAAACAAAGGTCTTTGAAATCTGCCTGCAATGGTTTGAATGGGTCCCCACAAAGTTCACGAGTTAGAGTATAATCCCTAGTATAACAGTGTTGATGTGGGATCTTTAAGAGGTGACTGGGTCACTAACGGATTGATTCTGTTATTATGGGAATAGGCTCCTTACTGCAGGAGTCCATATTCCTCCTCTTTCCCTTTCTCCACCACTACCTCTTGCTGAGAGAAAATGCGTTAAAAGGGCCTTGCCTTATGCAAATTTCTTAACCTTCAACTTCCAGGCCTTGACTCCAGAACTGTAAGAAATTAATTTGTTCTTCATGAATTATCCAGTCTTGGAGATTTTGTTATAGCACCACAAAACAGACTGAGACATAGTCAAAGCTCTTCTTAGAGAAGCCTAAATGAAGTACACATAGAAAAGGAATTTGACCTAAGCTTGAATGAAAATAAACTAATTATTAAGAATTAAATTTACTAAGAAACTTTGTCATCAGTCATCGCTTTTAACATTTTCAGTTACAGTAAAACCCTACCTTAATTAGGGCACCCAAATAATAATTATATAAATTGTAGTGTCACATTAATAAAAAAGTGCTTTTTGTCTATAAACAGTACTAAAAAGTTACACTGTATACAATTGATACACTGTACAAAGAACTGAAGCTGTGATGGGCGGAAGTGACTTCCAAGTCTTTTGTCCAAGTTTGTACTACCACGGATGGCAGTATTAATTTTTTATACCTATTTCCTGAAATTATCATTAAGGAGTATTTATTTTTTTATACTTTACTGTTTCCTGAAACTGTCATTAAGGCTACTTCAGGATTCCTTATGAATATAAATTAATGAGTATAAAGTAGAGAACTGACTGGCATTTTTATATATAGGTCCTAATTATAAGGATGTCCTCCACTTTCTTCAGAAACTGCTGGACCTTATTATGAGCCAAGCGCAGCTCTGCATAGCAGAGACAGTGAGGAGAACCTCCCTAGTGGAAGTTACACTTTCTTTGACATCAGTTCTGTCAATCATACTTTCATTAAAGTCTTGCCCATAATCTTCATGTATAAGGCCTCTCTCCTGGTACACTCTGATGAATGTTGATTCTTCTGCTGTGTCACATCCAGAGAATGGTGACATTTTGGTAGTTGGGTATAAACACTGGTCACATTTGTAGAACAAAGTTTTCTGTTAAATCTGATATTTGTAAGGAATTAATCTTGAGTCGTTAAAGCACATCATTTAAGGAGCTTCTCAGTTCTGAAAAGTTTCCTACAGTCAACTGGGGCCTCCTGAAGACAGACATGAGCTCTAGATGAAGGCTACTTCACACCTCAAATTCTACAGGTTCCCTCCAGTGTGGACCCTTTGATGGTAGACAAGATGTGATCTCTGACTGAAGCCCTTAGAGCAGATGTCACATATGTAAGGCCTCTCTCCAGTGTGGACCCTCTGGTGTGTGTGGAAATGTGAGGCCTGACTGAAGCCTTTCCCACACTGCTGACATGTGTAGGGCTTCTCTCCAGTGTGAACCCTCTGATGAGCACTGAGACCCGCACTCCAACTGAATTCTTTCCCACACTCCTCACACTTAAAAGGTTTCTCACCAGTGTGGATGATCTGGTGGACTTGAAGATTTGATCTCTGGCTGAAGGCCTTACCACATGTAGCACATTTATAGGGTTTCTCACCAGTATGGACTCTCTGGTGGGCTTGAAGATGTGAGGCTTGGCTGAATCGCTTCTGGCATGCGTCACATTTGAATGGTTTTTCCCCGGTGTGGACACTCTGATGAGCTTGAAGGTTTGAGGCCTGACTGAAACCTTTACCACATTCCTCACACTTGTAGGGTTTCTCTCCTGTGTGGACTCTCTGATGATTGTGGAGATTCAAGCTCCAATTAAAGCGCTTCCCACATATCTCACATTTGTAAGGTTTTTCTCCAGTGTGGACTCTCTGATGGGCTTGAAAATATGAACTCTGACTGAAGCCTTTACCACACACATTGCATCGAAATGGTTTCTCTCCTGTGTGGACCCTCTGATGGCTCTGGAAACTGGAGGCTGAACTAAAACCCTTCCCACACTCGTCACATTTATATGGTTTCTCTCCTGTGTGCACTCGTTGATGGCTATGAAGATTAAAGCTCAAACTGAAGCATTTCCCACACTCATCACATTTGTATGGTTTTTCCTCAGTGTGGACTCTCTGATGGGTATGAAGATTCGAGCTACAACTGAAGCGTTTACCACAGTCACCACATTTATATGGCTTTTCTCCAGTATGGATTCTTTCATGGGCCTGTAGATGGGATCTCTGGGTGAAGCCTTTCCCACACACCTCACATTTGTAAGGTTTCTCCCCAGTGTGAACTCTGCAGTGAATGTTAAGATCGGTGCTTCGACTGAAGCCCTTTCCACAACTGTCACACCTGTAGGGCTTCTCTCCTGTGTGAATAGGCAAATGAGCATACAGATGTGAGCTCTGATTAAAGCTCTTACCACACTCAGGGCACGTATAAGGTTTCTCCCCTGTGTGGACCCTCTGATGAGTCTGCAGATTTGAGCTCTGACTGAAACCCTTGCCACATTCATGACACCAATAGCGCTTTTTCCCTGTACGAACATTTTGCTGAACAGGAATACTTGGACTATAACTGGTATCTTCCTCAGATACTCTGCACATCGGGGACTTCTTTCTCAAGTGCACCTGCTGATGAAGTTCAAGATCATAGCTGTCACTGAAAGCTGCCTCACATTCACTACACTGGTAGCTTCTCTGTCCTGTGTAAATACAATGCGGAGTAAGTGCTGACACCTTTAGGACATCTTTACCACATGTGCTGCTGCTGTGAACTTCATCCATTTTGTACACTATGGAATCATCATGGTGGCGGGAAATACAACTGAAAATGTCAACACATGGAGCAAAAATACGTAATTTGTTTTTCATCTTAGGTGGCGTATAACTTTTCTGATGGTTCTGTGTCGCACTGAGATATATTTTACTCCAGGGACTCTGTGCTCTTTCAGTTGGAAATTCTTGATTTTCAGTAACAATGGAATGATCCCCTACAAGATTCACAAGACAGCTGTCCTCTGTGGATGCCTGACAAGGTTCTTCTGCTCTCACATGGCAGGAGGAATCACACAGCCTGGAGAACCAAGAACCCTTTCCCCGGATATTTACTATGGGGCCTTGACTTTGAGTTAGTTTGTTTAGAACATGTTCCTTGATTTGCCAATGTGAAAGCTCTCCCAGTGAAAGGCATCTTAACCCTGCTTCATGAAGAATCTCCATCGTTTGATTCCTGTTTCCTGGAAGAACAAAGAGAATAAGGAATTAAAGATAGAAAGTGACATCAGCAAGAATGTGAAGTAGGAAGCTCAGAGTCTTTATTTCCCTTTGGGAATATTAAAAAAGAAAACTATAGGCAAGCTAAAATAAATTCGTAGGAGCTCTGGAAAAGATTTATAGCAACAGAGGGAATGTTGAATCAAGAGAGAGCCATGTTAAAAATGATAGGAAATTTGGGTTCAGCCCAGGCTGAGGCTGTAAGGTCTTCTCTGGTCCCTTCTGAGCACGTGTCCTGCTGGGCCTCTTGTGCTTCTCTCCACTGTTCAGTACACACGGCTACTTTTTATGGTTTTGGCATGGCATGGGCTGGAGAAACCAGTAGTCCAGCTCCCTGCCTCAAACTGGAGGGAGCAGGGAACACCTTATTTGCAGTCTTCTAACCTGTCTGAGGGATAACATGAAAACTGGTATGTTTTTCCTGACTCCCAGCTAGGTTAGAAAATGTAATAGAAAGCAACAGTAGGCACCACTCTGCAAAACAGCAGAGGAACTACAGGCCTGCAGTGGCCTGGGGAGTGTGTAGGTGTGGGAATAGAACACCAAAGGCCCTAAGAAGCCAGGCTTCTGAGAAATTAAAACCTTTAAAAGCATCTGTGTGTAAGAGAAAGACGGAAAAACAAACACCCAGCTCAGGCAAGACACATGTCCAGAAAGTACTGGAGACCTTAGCTCTCACCTGGGCAGATCACATGGCTCAAAACACTATTGATTAGTGAAAGTCTTCCCTAGAAAACAGGAAGAAGGCAGACTTGGAAAGGTGGCTTTTTTTCCAATGCCTAATGTCAAGAAAAGATCTAAAGGCATACAAAGAAACAGGGAAAAGCAGCACTGGACTGTCACTTAAATGATGATTTAAAAATTATTTTAATGTGCTCAATAAACTACAGAAGAATACCAACTGATAAATAAAATCAGAAAAATGCTGCATGAACAAAACAAAATATCAGCAGAGACAGAAAACAGAAAAAAATAATAAAACAAGTTCTCAAGCTGAAGAGTACAATAAAAATTGAAAACATGAAGCAGAAAATTGAATGAACTTAAAGACAGGTTGAAGATCAAGTTTGAACAGAGCAGACGACAAATACATGATGGGAGTCCCAGAAGAAAGAGGAATTCATCTGATAAAAGGCAGAAACTACCACACTGGAGAAAAGGAATGAATATGCAAATCCAAGAAGCTTACACTCTAAGGATAAACCCCAAAAGATTCACACTGGAACACCTAATCAAACCGTCAAAAAGACAAAGAGACCTGTAAAAGCAGTGAGGGAAAGGAGATTCATCACATACCAGGGATCCTCAGTAAGATTATGAAAAGATTTCTCAGCATAAAACTTGCATGCCAGAGGCAATAAGATGATTCAAAGTCCTGACAAAAAACAAAAACTGTCAACTGAGAATACTCTATCCAGAAAGACTCTTTCAAAAATATGGGGAAAAGGCTGGCATGGTGGTGCATGCCTATAATCCTGGCACTCAGGCGAATGAGGCAGGAAGATCACCTAAAGCTCAAGGCCAACCTGAGCTTCATAGTGAGTTAATGCCAGCCTGGAACATACAGCAAGACCCTGTCTCAAAATACAAAGAAATAGGTGATAAACAAAACCTAAAGGAGAAGCTTATCACAAGACCTGCCCTATAAGAAATGTTAAATGAAAGTCCTTCAAGTTGAAAGGACACAGAATGGTTACTCAAAGCCCTATGAAAACAAGGTTCTAAACTAAAGGTAAATCTGTGGGCAAATACAAAACCTGTACTATAATTTGATTCAGTTTCAGCTTAAAAATTTTAAAGGATTTATAAGATTAAAGCACACAAAATTTTAAGTCTATATTAACGAATATACAATATATAAAGATGTAATCTGTTGACATCTGTAACATAAGGGAGGGCAGACGTAAAAAAAAAAAATGTTGCTGAATGTGACTGAGGTTAACTCACCATGCTTTATGTAATCTTCATGCTAACAACAAAATAGCTACAGAAAGCAAAACAATCAAAATCTGCACTACACACACAGAATATTAAAGAAGGGACAACAAAAAACAAAACAGCAACAGTTGTTGCAGTGAGTGACCATGGTGATGTACAGAATGAAACATTACTCAGAGATGAGACTTAGTTCGATCACAGAGAAGGCCCAAGGGGCTGACTCAATTCAGAGACTTCCAAGAGGAGCACCAAGGCCAAGAACTATCTGGGTTTTATTCAGAATATCAGTTTAAGAGAGAAAAGAGGTAAAGCAGTTTGGGTAAGGAGCTGTCTCCAGGCTAGGCAGTTTTCTTGGGGAAAGGGGGAAGACTACAGCCAGAGGTGACTTGATTCACTAATCTGAACCTCTTGTTGTGTAACCGTTACTTCTCACAGAGCCTGCATGCTTTTGCCCCACAGTTTAACCATTTACTCCTCAGCCAAGTCCCACACAAACAGTAAGTCCTGCTTTAAATGTTAACAGATTAAATTCCCCAATAAAAAGACACAGACTGAAAAGATGGATTTAAAAACTAAGAATCATGCGAGCTTAAATATCACATGGTTTCTTATACAAGAAACACAAATTATAAATAAAGAGCAAAATAAAATAAAAATAAAAGGGAATAAGAAGCTAGATCTTTCTCAAATGGCAGGGGAGGAAAAGGGGATGAAAAAAGAATTAAGATTTGTTACATACTTCACAGAAGGAATGTAAATACTATGTTCTACAATCATGTTGTAATTTTTAAAAATAAATGACTATAACTATTTAAAAAAAACCCTAAGAACCAAATGTAGTTTCAATCTAAGGACACAAATAGATTTACAGTGGAAAAAAATGGATGAAGATATTCCATGCCCAAAAATAACTAAAGGTAGTGGTCCTAATATCAGATAAAATGGCCATTAAGTTAAAAAATGTTTAAATATAAAGAACATTATTGAATGCTTCAATCTTCAAGATTTAACAATTATGAACATACAGGTGCAGCCGAATGTGAATGAAGTTAATACTACTGTATACTCAAAACCAATTAAAATGTTGACGTATATGTTATATATTTTATCACAACAAAAAACATGTAACATGCTACGAAGTCAGGTGGTATAGAGCTTAGACATTAATTAGGGCAAGTTAAGGAAAGAAAGTGAAAGGAAGATAGCATTTTAAGCAGGCTGGACAGAGAAAGCCTCTCATGAAATGACTTCTAAGCAAATATATGAATGAAGTTAAGGGCTAGAGGTTTACTGGATTGCAGCCAGAGAAAAGAAGGAAAAGGATTTGAAACAGAAACATAATTATCATATTTGAGGGTGAAGAAACAAAGAAACAGGAAATGACAGAAGAAAAAATGCAGAATGGTGAAGCTAGGAGATTAAACAAAGCTTACGTGACCTTTCAAGCCCCTCATAAAGGCTGGATTTACAGTGCAACGGGAAGCTGGGGAGGGCAGGAGGAGGGGAGGAGTGGCCAGATCTGACTGTCGAAGGGGTTCTCTGCTTGGCAGGCAGAGAAGAGGTCACTCTGAATAGAGGCAGAACAACCAGGCTGCTCCCTACCTTGGCTCCAGAGGCACAGATCTCGCCCTCATGAATGCCTACCTCTTTGGGTTTGGATCTCCGTCATCCAAAGCTTTTCCTCTCTCTCCAACTGAGATATCATATCTGGTTTGAAGGACTGATATCCTGTGAAAAACAAGGTTTACAGGAAAATATTAAAGGCAAAGAGTACTGAAAAAGTCTGGTTCTTGTCTCATAAGGCCCCACCAAGCAACATTTAACAAACATTTTTTATCATGACACAGTGTAAGAAATACATTTACTATTATTAGAAAGACAAACTACTGAAATAAGAGAGTCAATGATCTGCTTCTGACCAATGTGCTTTCATCACTTCGGTCTCACGCCTTTTACTCCAACACCTACAGTCACTGCTACAACACACAGCACCCTTCCTAAGGAGCACCGACACTGCTACTGTTTCATTACATAAACGCTGATTACTAGATTTCACAACCCACCCATGGATTATGATTTACAAAAGATTTAAAAAAAAGAGAGACTCTGGAGCAGCTAAGCGCTACTGTTCGTTTGTTGTTCATTTACAAAGGCAAGTTTGCTTTGGAACAAAGGCCAGCAACTCATTGTACTCCAGGAGGGCTGGAAAACTGCTCTCTGAGGACTTTCACTGTGGGGAGCTCTCTTGGGCAGAGGCCATGGATGCTGCTAAACAGCCTAAATACACAAGCCGGCCCCTATAACACACTACTACCGAGCTCAAAGACCACCGAGTTAACAGCACCAAGACTGAGAAGCCCGCCTCAAGGAGATGAGGTCAGGTTCCACAGCGGGCCTTCCTCACCCACGGAGAGCAGGTTCCTGAAGTTCTCCAGCATCACGTCTCGGTACAGCTTCCTCTGGGCAGAGTCCAGCAGCCCCAGCTCCTCCTCGCTGAAGACCACGGCCACGTCCCTGAAGGTCACTGCTTCCTACGACATCAAACATGTGTTACCTCAATCTTATACCCACTGGCCACTGGGACCTAAGCAACTTCTTCAGCAGAGTTCTTGTTCTTCTCCCTCCACAGCCATACCAAAAGTACTTGGGGTAAAAAGATACCAGGTACATGTAACACGGTACCCCTTAGGTACCGAAGTCCCTAGCATCGTCACTGTTTAATCGTGCATTCACACATTTATAATCTGAGAGTGCCAATCTTGTCAAAAATGTTGTGTTGATTTTGTACCCCTCGTGTCAGCAGTGCCAACCTCTCACCGGGCAGTGCAGAGTGAGTATAACTTTTCCCAAACCCAAAATGCTCCAAATTGGACATTTCCTGAGAAGTGACACCATTTAAAGAGTTTTACGGTTTACAGCATTTTGGATTTCAGATTAGCAATGCTTAGCCAGTAAATTCTACGTAACTATTCCAAAATCCAAAAATCTCTTGCCATCAGAACCACTTCCGGTCCCAACTATTTTTGAATAAGGGGTACTCAAGTGCTGCCAGTGCTCACCAACCGAACAGCCTCCACTAGCTCCCTGGGACAGATAATGTAGTTCATTCTGTGTTCACAGGAATGCAACCTCTCTGTGACCACGGCAGCATTCAGGGCCACGGTGAAGAGCACCGCTCCAGCATCTGCCTCAGTTAACTGTCCAAGGTGCTTAGCTGAGTCACCTAACTTCTCAATACCTCAACTTCCTCGTCCATATAATAGAACTTGCATCATAAGGCCCCTGAAGAGATCAACCGAGTGAAACCATGTAGCGGTATCTAAGTGCACAATGAATGCCAGTATCACCATCATCACCATTATCGACTTCATCCCATTCCTGGTTACACAGTATTCTATAAAAGTGATGCTCTATAATGTATTTAATCATTACAAATAACACACAATTCAATAACTTTAGAGTTACAAAACAAGACTGCAAGAAACGTTTTTACACAGATCTCAGCCAACTCAGTTTGGTTATTTGTTACAGTGAGTGCAAAAAAAATAAACACCAGCTGTGGATTTAGCTCAGTGGTTCCACCGCCTGCCTTGCAAGCGCAAGGACCTGAGTTTGATCCCCGGTACTAAAAAAACAAAACAAAACCAAACCTCCATTTTGCTAATATAATGGCTATTTTCTCAATTAACTTGCATGTAAAAGAGCGTAAGTATCTTTGATTTTCCATTATCTTATTTTTTAAAATCTTGAGTAATTTGGTAATAAAAACAGTCCTTTTAAACTTTCATTTATTAATTAAAAGATGTTTACATACTGCCCATCTTTTTACTTTGCTCAGTCCTACTAGGGTGTCTTATGCATCAGAAAAGTCTTATCACAAATACTAAACCTCTTTCAGGCAAGTATAATCTCCCATTTCTATTTGTTATTTACCTCATAACTCTATGTGGGGTGTTTTTCAGCATGGAAATTAAAATGTTTTTATCTAAAGAGTCTGCTTTTCAGACTGGTGCAACCACTGTGGGAATCAATGTGGAGATACCTCAAGCAACTAGGATTAGAGGTCCCATTTGACCCAGCTATTCCCCTGCTGGGTATCTTCCCAAAAGGATTAAAAGAATCATTCCACAGTGATATATGCACACCCATGTTTATAGTGGCACCATTTGTAAAAGCTAAAACTTGGAGAAGGGTTTGGCTCAGTGATTCTGCCGCCTGCCTCAAAAGCACAAGGGTCCAAGTTCGATCCCCAGTACCAAAACAAACAAACAAACAACCTTGGAAACAGCCCGATTCCCATCAACTGGAAACTGGATAAAGAATATGTGGGTTTTTAAAAATAAAATTTAGTACTACTCAGCCATAAAGAATGAGAAACTGAAGACATTTATAGCCAAGTGGATGCACACTGAGGACATACTCTTAAGTGAAATAAATAGGACACACATGTAAATATTGAATAGTTTCTCTGGTGTGAAAGACAAAGTGCAAATAAGGATCAAAATGTATAAAATGATAATGTGAAATAGGAAGAAAACATCTAAAGGAGTAGGGAAAGTGGGAAAGATAGGGGAAAGCAAAGAAGGGAAAAGAAAAAATATGAGAAAAGGGAAAAACACGGATACAAAGTGTTTGTAAATAGGGAAGGAGGGGATGGAGGGTAGGGGAATGGGGAAAAAATAAGACCCAAGATGCATCATGCAAAGGTACAAGCTCCCAATAATGAATGTAACTGTACTGTATACCTAAAATGTACCAATAAACTTAATGGAGCAAAATAAAAATTAAGTAAAGATTCTGCTTTTCTGCCTTTGATTTGGTTGGTGTGCTGAACACGTACTCAATGACCAGGGGACACATCTGGCAAAGAGCCAGCCCTAGGAGGGGAACAGGTGAGGACGATGCTGTCTCTGGAGCCCTTCACCCACCAGGACAGCCAGGAACACAAGCCACACAGCGTCCCTGAATGGCGAGCTCTCTTCCCTTCCAACACCTGAATGGACTATCTGAAAAACCTGGCTTAGGCATTAAAACTTTTAGTGTTGGATGGGCAATGAGTGGACATCCATCTGTGTTTACAAATCTCTCTGTTCACACAGCTGATCCGCGCAGTAATGCCTGGTCAGTCCCTAAGGCTATTAGACTTTTCAGACTAAGATGTGCTACTTTAAAATATACGTTTAAAGCAGACACTTCACTATAAAACTGTAATGCACTGTAGGACTTAGAATTAAAGAAAAAATTTTAACTGCTTTTAGTTGAAACAGCTAAAATTACTTCCTCTGAGGTCAGTATCAGCAGGATCCTCTTAAACTGAGCCACATATGACCCCTTCCACAACATGAGGCGCCCTGTGTAGGAAAAGAAGAAGGCTCTAGATTGTAAAGAATCTTCAGAATTCTTTCCTTTTGCATTGAGTTTATTGGTACATTTTAGGTATACAGTACAGTTATATTCATCATTGGGATCTTGCACCTTTACCTGACAAGTCTTGGTTCTCATTTTTTCCCCCATATTCAGAATTCTTAATTGAGGGGGAAAAGGCAGAAAACTGTCGCTGCAAATGTGTTCAAAACAGCAAAATTCATAAAGCACACAGATATGGAGAATGAAGAAAAATAAAATTAGGCAAACTATGGAAAATGACGTGGCCATTTAAAATGTAGGCAAAATAAAACTCACAACCGTACCCAAAGTATGACCATGAATACACACCTATCAGGGAATTGATAAGGAATATGGGCAAACGAAGGCAACTGATTTTTAAGCATCTTTTTTCCTGGTACCAGGGGTGGAACTCAGGACCTTGGGCTTTCCAAGTAGGCGCAGCACCACTGAGCTACATCTCTGGCCCTAAGCATGTTTATAATGTTTTTCCTTTTTTATTTGGAAGAAAAAAAAAAAAAGACAAGAGCCTGCCGTGTAACATTTTCTCACTGCCTCTGGTATCCTTTGACTTCTCCCAAGCACGATAAAAACGAGAAGCCATTTTTAAGAAACACAGAGGCAAACAACTTACCTGGAACTTGGTCATTGTTCATTTCCTCCTGGGAAAAGGCAGAGCGTGGGCAGGTCAGGCTGGGGAAGGGAAAGACATCATGAGCGATGCTGGGGCGCACACAGCTTGGGGAGAGTAAGGGCTGGGTCCGCACCTAACTGAGCTCCTTCCACGAACAACCCTTCTAACAGCTCTAACTCAAAAGCTTCCTGATACTCCAATGGGGCCAAAATGCCTGGGCTCAGATTCTGACATCCCCACTTGTTTTCTACCAACTAGCAGCAAGTTATTACTGACTCCGGAACCCACCAGAGCTGCACGGAAACGGGACAGTGATGTCAGTCATGCTCTCTGCTTCCCGCAGTTTCAAACAAGCAAGTACTGCTATACTTTGTAAAACTGCCCACTAGAATGCGCTTTTCAGAAACTCCTACACCGACTGCTTTGCGTCATATGAGCAACTGTCACCCTCAGAAGTCCGTGATTGTGAGCGGGCGTCTCATATACAATTTGTTCCGTGGATAGCAGCAAGTTTGCCTCATAAGTTCTCTCTAAAAAGCACAAATTACTCGCAAATGATAACCTGAACGGGCCTGAGCAAAGTGTCTTTTCTCAAATGCATGAAGGTAACGACCAACAAAAATCTGCAACCAGCAAACGGTGTTGCACAAAATTTATTAAGGCCTCCCACCGTGTCGGGCACTCTGCAAATCTGTGATCATGATAGTTTCTCTGTCCAGTGTAAACACAGGGCCTTCGCCATGCTTCTGTTGGAAGAAATCTCCCTCTTAAAGAGGCGGCTAAAACGAGTTCCGAAATTCGGGAAAAACCCCAAAGCAGGCAAGGACCAGAGAGAAGAGGCTGCACCTCCGCAGCTGGAGCTCGCTTGAGAACAAGGGCGCCTCTCCGAGGATTAACCGTGGAATTAGTAGGAGCCGCCAACATTTTATTCTGTTCCACGCATTGTTTTTAAACGTTTTACACATGTAAAATCTCATTTAATTCTCACCAAAAAAGCAACCTGGAAGCCCCGAACCCTTGACGGCCAAGAGGTAACGGAGGTAAAGAGGGGTGAAGTGACTTGCCCAGTAACAGCTGCGAGGAACAGCAGGGCTGCTTGGACGGGAGGGAGGTCTGGGGCAGCGGAGAGCGCGGGAGACCCCAGCCTCGACGCTCCAGAGCGCGCCGCCTCCTGACCCCCGCCCCCACCAGGTTCTGTTTCTCTGGCCACGAACCCAGTATCCGCCGGCCGCACGCCCAGGGCAAGAGGGCTCGCAGTGGTCCCAGGGTCCCGCAGCGCGCTCACCTTCCCCAACGAAATCGCCGAGCCGACCTCGCCTTCTGTGAGCGGAAGTGCCTCCGCCCGCCCACAGTATCTGGACTCCATTTCCCAGAGTCCCTAAACGGAAGTGCTTCGGCTCTTTCGCGCCGCTCGCTGGGACTACATTTCCCAGAATGCCAGGGGCTGTCTGATTTCTGTATTGACTCAGGCAGGTTTGGTAGGAATCACTTGTCTAGCGTTATTACTGTCAGATTCGTTTTTGTTGTATTCATTTCTTAAAGCTCACGAAGAAGCAACTGATAATTTTTAAAACATGCGGCAATATTAGAAAAGTGAGGCCTGTATTGAGCTATTAACTCTCTAGAACTGTAAGTCATAGAGACAAGAGCATATCTAATCTACTATTAAATGCACTTCTTAAATTTAGTTATTGTATGTTTTGATGCTAGGATTTCTGTAACTCCAAGCTCTCTTGTGAAATTATCTTTCTGTTTTCTGAAAAGTTGTAATTAATATTATTTCAAAGACTGTCAGGTAACTCCGGTATTTAAATTAGCCAAGTTCTGTTTTTGTCCATTTGGTCCTGACACCTGGGAAAACTTGGTGATTTTAAAAATATCACATATAAAATATGAAAAATTATGACTTTTGATGATTTTTATCATTTTCCACAAAGGATGTAATTTCCTGGGGAAGCAGGAAGTGGAGAGCAGATCATTTTTATTTTATTGGAAGATTGATATCCAATCATGAGATGTGGGCAATACGGATGATCTCGTGCATTTTTGGAAAGGGTTCAATAAATACAGTGGACCCTTGCCTTATGAACTCGACAGGTTCCTAGGGCTGGTTGTAACTCAAGTTGGTTGCAAGTCAATACAGCTGAGATCTGGATGTTTACGCTATAGATAACAAGAGGCAGATGAATCTTCCCTTAATCTCATTAGCCCAAGTTGTTTGTATATCAGGCCAGTCGTAACTTGAGGGCCAACTATTTTAAATTTAAAATATCTTCTAAAGATGGGGGGAGAAAATAATATCAGCTCTGTATCTCATTTCCTCGCTCCCTAGAAATAGCTAAGAAATGTGGAAATCAATCTACCATATAAACATACTAATGATATTAGTTTGAAGATAATGAAAAAGTTTTAACTTAGAAATAAGTTTCTAATTATAAATATATAAAGAGAGAGAGAGAGAGAGAATATGAATTTCTGGACAAATGAAATCAGCTATGCAGTCTCTTTATCTCTACATGAATGAGTAATCAAGAGTTCCCAGAACAGCTTCCTCCAAGCAGTTATGCAGCATGCACATTGCTGTTGGCCATCTGTGAATCTGAAGCCAAAATACTCCTAGGGCATAATTACAAGGCTGTGCTGATCATTTCAGGCTGCTTAAAAAGGAATGCTATAGTTGGGCAAATATTGACATATATTTTTAGTTTGCACCTGCTAGTTCTAAAAATGCATTCCAGTGCAGGAAGTAGGGTAGTGAGGAAGTGGTGGGGTTTTTTTTTTCATCTTTAATTGAGTTTATTGGTACATTTTAGGGATACAGTACAGTTACATTCATTGTTGGGATCTTATACTATGGCGAGCCATTATGGTGAGCCTTGACACAGGCCTAGCCATGACTGAACTTTGAGTCACCTCGCTGGCACGGAGGTGCTCTCGCCCATAGCCACGGGCGAGTTCAGCTGGTAGCAGATGTAACCCATAATGGTCGTTATTGTTTCCCTCTGGAATGTGTGGGCGGTACCCTCGCTCCCTCGCTCCCGTGCAGCCCTCGCTCCCATGCAGCTGGAGAGTATAAAAGGGCGAGGTTCTATAATAAAGCTAGCAACTGAAGAAGCAAGGTGCCTCCCGTTTCTCTGTCCTCATCCTTTCAGGTTTAGGACCTGCTGGCAGGATCCTGACGTCGCGGCTCGCGACAAGTGGCGCCCGAACAGGGACCTGAAAGAATGAGGATATGCAATCCCGGACCCAGGTCGAAGGTAGTGACGGTGCTCCGGAGGACTGACCGCTGCGCCTGATCCACGCAGTAAGTCTACCGTTCACTTCATGAACTCCGGACCCAGGTCGAAGGTAGCGACGGTGCTCCGGAGGAAGGTAAAAAGAAAGTAAAAATAAAATAAAATAAAAAATAAAAAAA